CAAACGCAATTCTGAGCAAAGAAGCGGGACACAGGCGCACGCGTGTTACGTGCGGCCATGTGTCTAAAGGATGAAAACACATCAAGTTCATCTTTGAAGTGAGAGAAGTGATTATGCTTAGGGTTTGGGGGTGTGGCTGGAAGGGAGCCTGGGGGAGCTTGGGGGTCCTCGTAACGTGGTTTCTGGGTCTGGAACCGGCCACGTGGATACGTGCAGTTCTCAAAAACTCATCAAGCTGTTCCCTATGACACACGTGTGTCTGTGCGTGTTTTCTGTTTCAAGAAAACTTTTCAAAGTGGCGATGTAACGTTATGAGAAATCACTTAGGCCCCGACTGGTGTGGCTCCATTGATTGGGTGTCACCCCCCACCCCCCCACAGAGCCAAAGGTCGGCAGTTCAATTCCCGGTGAGCGCACGTGACCAGGTTGCGGGTTTGGTCCCTGGTTGGGAGCGTGCAGGAGGCAACCGGCCGATGTTTCTCCCACACATCATGTCTTTCTCCCTCCCTCCTCCTCTCTAGACATAAATAAACAAACTCTTTAAAACAGAGAAAAAGAAATGACTTGGAAAATACATGAGCACTTAATTCTCCTTTAGAAAGTAATTCACAAAAACAGTGTGTACTGGACTATGTGGCCCCATCTTTGTAAGAGAACAAATACATTCATTTATGGCATTAATGGTGGATAGTCTTGGCCCGTGGGATTGAGTCATTTAAAAATTTTTATTTACCCGTAAATAATTTACAATAAACATGCATCATACTTGCTACGCTTGGGCCAAACATGCGGTTATCACAAATTTAACTTGAAACACTTGCGTCCACCTCTGGAGAAACCCGCAGGTCTGGGCCGGGGCCGTGGAAGTGTGTTCCCTGTGTCGCGGGAAGACTTCGTGCTGGGGTGAGGCCTTGATGGAAAATTCCGAGGGGACCGGCCGCCCCGAGGCCTATCTGGCCAGCCCGATAACACCTGGTGTGCACAAGCGCGCCATCCCGGCCTTGCCGGGCCCGAGCTCTTTAGATTAGATTCTGCTGCTTGATTTGCTACGTTCACAGAACATTTCTGAACACCTGCGCCCTTGTCAGGGGCTGCCCTCCATTCATGATACAGTTCCCAGCGTCCCTCAAAGCCCAGGGCCAGGCCGGGCTAATGGCAAAGTAAACTTTGTTGTCTAATCTTTCTGCCAGGCCCGTCTGGCCTGCTCAGATTACACGGGCTCCCTGCTGGCAGCCACCCAGCAGCCCTGGCTGGCGGTCCGCCCTCGGGGAGAGCGCGTGGTGCTAGGATTCCACTTTTCCCCCTAAGAGTTCCCCTGGGGACTGGGTGGAATGGCTTCTCTAAGTGGCCTTGGGGCGAAGGCCGAAGATGTCACGGGATGTCCGCCTTGCACTCTAACCAGTGGGCAGAAGCCAGGTGGATGTGTGTGGGTGCAGAGCCTGGCCCAGGACAAGCCTCTCCCAAGCCCAGAGCATCTGGGACCCCAGTTCCAGTCCTGCTCATATCACGCCTTAGTTAAATGAACCTGAGCTGATCACTTACACCTGCTGAACTGTGTCTCCAGGGATAAGGCAGGAGCAATCATTTTTATTTTATGTATGTATGTGTGCATTTTTAAGCCTCATCCGAGGACCTGCTTATTGATTTTAGAGAGAGAGAACGGAGGGAGAAAGAGAGGGAGACGAACACTGATGTGAGAGAGAAGCATCGTTCAGTTGCCTCCCACGGGCACCCAACTGAGGACGGAACCTGCAGCCGAGGCATGTGCCCCAACCAAGAAGCAAACCCTCAACCTTTTAGTCCGTGGGATAACGTTCCAACCCAATGAGCCACACCAACCAGGGCAGGAATGATCATTTTTTAAAAGCTCATGTATCTCAAAGTGCTTAGAAAAGCACAAAGAGCCACGGAGATGCACAGCTCGTCGTACCAGTGGAGATTCGCCCACAAGCAGACCTACAGTGCTGACGCCCTCCTCCGGTCGCTGCTGGGGCCCGAGCAGAAAGCTGCCTCGCCAGGCGCCCAAATGGCCCCAAAGCAGACAGCCAGGCGCATCTCGGTGGCGTTTGCTAGGAGGTTTCAAACCCCATAATAGTTTTTATTGCTGGTGACGGATTCACACCAACTTAACACAATTCACACTTATCTCACGGCTTCGGTGGGTCAGGAGCCCAGGCTCCAGGCTCCGTTCGGCTGGGCCCTCGGCTTCAGGGCCTCTCACAAGTGCAGCTGGCCGGGTGTGGTCTCATCTGAGGTTCAAGCGGCTGTCTGCAGGATGTAGGTCCTTGCAGGTTGTCAGACAGGGGACCTCAGGTCCCAGCTGTCTGTTGGCTGGAGGTGATGTCCTGTCCCTTGCCATGTGGGCCTCTCCGAGGTCGCTTCATCAGAGTCAGCAGGCAAGACAGTCTGAACAAAGGCAGACGTGACCACCTCACATAATATAATCACAAGAGTGACATCCCATCTGCTTTGCCATACCCTCCTGGTTAGCCGCAGGTCACAGGCGCTGCCTGTGCTCAGGGGGAGGGGCTGATGAGGAACAGACCACCCAGAGGCCAGGATAATCCGGAACCGCTGAGAAGTCCGCCGTAAGCCTAGAACCGGTGCCATGGAGCCTGTCAGCCTCCAGGTCTTAAAATCTCTAATGTGAGATGACATTGGTGTGACCCCCAAGACCCACCCGAGTGGAAAGAAACGAGGCCCCTCCCCCTTCTGCCCTCTCTTGGGCCAACTGGAAACTCCTTGACCACACGGGCCCATTTCCATCCTGCTCTTGGAGGTCCCCCCAGCGTGAATGGGGCCTGCAGGTTACCCCCTGAGGTGTCTTCCTTTTGCTCCCGAACGTGGTTTTCCTCTGTCCAAAACCGCCATGTGGGCCCCACAGACAAGCTGTGCCCCCCAACCGATGCCCTTCCTTAGACTCCGAGGTCTGCGAGCCAGCTCCGGGGCGCACAGAGGAGCCTGGGCGCCATCCACTCCTCTGAAACGAATCCTGGCCACCAGCGAGCTTTGCCTCAGCCTGCCCGCTTGTCACTGCCGCCCTTTGGTGTGACCAGAAAAGCAGACTGGGAGCAGAGTCACCCACAGTTCCAAGAACAGAAATGGAAGCAGAGGTGGTGAGCGGGCTGTGTGTGCCTTCCCTGTCAACTTCAGTGGTACTGTGACAGTTCATGCGAAAAGAACCCAGTGTGTCCCTTCTCAGGTGCCCCCCCAGGCAGCACCTACTACCCAACGTTCCCTTCACTCCCATCGGTGGCACGGTCACTGGCTGCGGGTGCCACCTGTTCTGAAGTCAGGTGCTTTGGCTCTATTATCACGAGGTGCAGTTTGCCTTTTCAGGGGTATAGTCTAGAGATGAAATATGTCTATCACCCCAAAAAGGTCCCCCATACCCTTGGTAGCCAATCTCCTCCCCCAGCCCCTGACCTAGTCTCTGTCCCCATTTAGTATTTTAAAGATGTTATTTATTTATTTTTAGAGAGAGGGGAAGGGAGAGAGAAAGAGAGGGAGAGAAACATCGGTGTGAAAGAGAAACGTCAATCTGCAGCCCTTTACCCACCACACAAAGTTATACACCAAATACCTTTGAAGACCCTGCCCACCCCCCACCCCAGTACATGCCCCGCCCTCCCTCCCGGCGGTCGCCTTCCTCCAGGGGGTTCCCATCTGCTGCCCCCAGGACTTGGACAGCCATCTTTAGGACCATCAGCCTGAGGGTGAGAGTGTAACTCAAAGAAGAAAGGCTTGAGGGGAGTAGGGGGGTGGGGGGTGGGGGGGCGGGAAAGAGTGAGGAGAGGAAGCAGGAATCAAACGATGTGAAAGTGGAAAATACGGGTCAAGGATCCACATCAGCGGCACGAAGCTGACTTAACACGTGAACTTGAAATACAAATGTGCTTTGTACTAACCCCATCCCTCTGTACTCACTCAGGGGCAAAGGGGGAAATTTGGAGCTTTACTAGAATCCGTATCTCCTGATGCTGAGAAAACCTGGGTGGCCCAGGGGATCTAATTTCAGAACAAGACCAGAAGATAGGCCTCACTACGTACTGCTGACCTCCACTCAATATCTCCCATCCCCACAATTCCTGAATCAAAGTTTTTGCTCCACTTTGTCCACTGAATAAACCTCATAGAGAATCCACTGGGTTGGTAAGCATCCTATTTTAAGAAGGGACTCTCTTAAGACGTTCTCTTCAGGAGAAGTTGCTTCCTGAGTCATTCACACTCTAGTATAAATTTTCCCAGATGGCTTTGCTCCACTGTAGCTGAGTCAGCCAAGTTTTAAGATGGAGAACATAGGAGAGCCAGACCCACTGTGTTCTCAAAGGTGGAAGCTTCAAGCAACCTGAGGGTGGAACAGGAGCAGCGGGAAGAGAAGGGGGACAGAAAATGAGGAGCACAGAGTCCAAAGACACAGCTGGCCTGTTTCAGAAAAGGCAGAATTTTTCCACCTGTTCCGCCCTCTCCTCTTCCTCTGCTGTGCACACTGCTTTCCAGGACTCAGCCCAGCTGCCCCTCAACAGCCCCGTATAATGACATTTCTGTAGAGACATGTCTTGAGTCCCAAGCCACTGACCCATGAATGTGCTTTAGGGTCACAGCTATAGGAACATGGCCCATCACTTGGTGGGGAACTGGTCACCAAGAACCCAGCCATTTCTCCCACCGGGACAAATCAGGGTAACTGAGGTCCTTGGGCATCTGTTCGATGTTAAGTGCACTTTAGACCAATTCTGTCAACATATTCAACTTGTCAACATGTAATGCATTTCATTATTTCAGACATACGCCTCCAGTCCATCGCTTGCTCTTCCAGCCGGGGGGAGGAGTGGTTACAGTGGAAAGCTTCTGTACTGGAAACTTCCCAGAACAGGGCTCAGGGGCAGGAACAATCTTATCGAGAAACTTTCTGTTTGGGTTAGGAGAATGGGCGATATTTGAGGGCTGATAAGGTGGACTCCTGAGCACCTGGGCAGTATATAAGGCGCTGCTCCGGCCTGCTGCTGCACACCTTCCACCGCCTCCACTTCTCTGGACACTTGGGCCCTGGGAAGAACCAAGAACCATGAAGTGGCTGCTGCTGCTCAGCTTGGTGGCACTCTCTGAGTGTGTCATCCACAAGTGAGTTTGCTGCCTGTTCCATTGCCTTTCTTTCCTCCCATCCTCCTCTTCTTCCCTTGTACGGCACCTCTCTTGACCATCCTTTAGCTCTCTCTCTGCCCTTTTGGGAAGCCAGCACTACAGATGTGGTTTGCTGCTCAGAGGAGAGGAACATTGTATCCATTTGAACGAAGCAGCAGGACAGAGAGCCCAGCGTGACTCTCTCGGGAGGACTTGCCTTTTTCAGATGAGAGTCTCTAGACTCCATGGAAGGAAGCGCTAATGGCGGATTTTTGTTAGAGACCTCGAAACGCTCCCAAGCCCAGAGCGCTCCGTGCAAGACCAACCCAGGCAGCGCACCGACTGCCTGTGGCTTCCCGGGGGCCGGCCTGGGGTCAGCTCCAGACAGCCACTGGGCCTCCTGGTGTCACTGCGCCCCAAAGGGGAGAATCTCCCATCTTGACTCCCTCCTTCCTGCGTCTCTCCCTTGGGCCAGCTTCCTTTTCCTTGCCGGGCTCCCACCGCCCCCAGGAGCAGACTCCTTGACTAATTACTCCTTCCCCTCCAAACCATCCCTTTGCCACATTTGCCACAGGGTTCCCCTGGTCCGAAAGCGGTCCCTGCGTCACAACCTGATCCAGCATGGCCTGCTGAAGGACTTTCTGAAGAAGCACAGCTACAACCCGGCCAGCAAGTACATCAAGGAGGTCGCCGACATGTCGGCCACCGAGCCCCTTGAGAACTACATGGACGTGAGTGCACAGGCGGGCAGCGGGGGCAGCTCTGGGGGCTTAGGAGAGAGAGGGCCCCAGGGGTCTTGGAAGATGGACCAGAACTCTGAGGCCCCAGGCAGTCAGTCACCTAGGAGTCTGCTCCCTGAATCTCAGAGGCACAGGGAGGGCAGGCAAACTCTCTCATTCCTTCCTTCGTCCCTTTTTTTACCCAGTGTTATGCATATAGGGCACCTGGTGGTGCCCAGCATCAGGCACGGTTCTGGGCTGGGAAACAGCAGTGAGCAAAACTAGACCGACCCCCCACCCCCTTGCAGGTCACAGTCTAGTAGGGAGAGATAGACAGCGCTCTGTGCGCCTCACACAGCATAAGAAGTACAGCCAGGCAAGGGCTACAGTGAAGGTGACACCCTGTGCCAGTTGGCAGATGGCAGGTGGCAGGCAGGGATCTCTCCCCGGAGCGGTACCCCAGAGAGCAGGAGGGACCCCCGTCGGACCCCGTGACAGTGGGGAGCAGAGTGCATCTGAGGAAAGGAAGCCGGGTGTGTGTGGAGAGCGGGGAGGGAGGTGTGAAGTGAGGTGGAGGGTCAGTGAGAGAAGCCAGGCCACGTCTCTGATAACCGTCTGTATCTCAAGTGCCACCCAATCATCCCAACACGTGGTTGACAAGGTCAGATTGCAATTACAGGAAGATCACTCTGACCCTTCTATTCGTCCTTCATCAAAAATACTGCATGTTCTCTATGGGAATGGCACTGAGCCAAGGGTACAAAGCAGGGTCACCTGTCATTAAAAGCTTAGCCTCTGATTCCGCCAGGCCTGGTGCACACCTAGGCTCTAATGGTCCCGGTGACCTTGGGCACATCGTCTACATTCTCTGAGTGAGCCCCGGGGGTCCTGTCTGTCAAACAGAACCACTAATACCCACTGTCAGAGGGATGTCCAAGCAAGCAGTGCAATAACGGTTATATGGAATACTTAGCTCAGGGCCTGGCCCCTGGTAAAGCCGGTCCATGTACTTACATGTTTATGAAGCGCCTACTATGTGCCAGGGGCTGTGCAGGGAGCTGAGAAAACGATAGTGAATAAGCAAAGTTCCTGGAGCTTTCCTTATTTAATTAATTAGAGTAATTGGAAAAAGAACAAGGGGGAAGGGCAAACTTAGAGTAGTCAAGGAGGGCCCCTCAGTGGAGGTGACATTGGTAAGCGCTCTGAATAACTGATGAGAAGGAGGCGGCCAAGGAAAGACGTAGAACAAACATTGTCCAAGCATAAGAAACAGCAAGTGCAAAGAGCAGGTGGCGGCCAGGACGGAGAGGAGGCTGTCCTCATCGAGGAGCAGCAAGACCAGCACGGCTGCCACGACGGAGGAAAGTGCACCAAGAATAAAAACCCCGACTATGACCTTTCTTGGGGCCTGCTGTAGACCGAGACTCAGGAAGAAGATGTATCAAAGGGTTTCAGTGACTTGTTCATCTTCCGGTCAACCATTGAACGAACGCGCATGTCAGCATTTACAGAGCCGGGCACTTGAATGTTTCACGCTCTCCTCCGAGAACATGCGTTCTTGAGGACAGCAAGACGAAGACAGGCAAGATGAGATTAGTATTAGGCATCAACGGTGTGCAGAAGAGCACAGTCAGAGGAGAACTGGGCACAATCAGGGAAGACTCCAAGGAGACAGGGAGACCAGGCTGGGAGGGAAAGGCCAGAATGCAAAGGGGAAGGCGGGAGGTGGCTGAGGAGCCGCCCCAGAGACAGTCCTGGGGAGGTGAGGTGGGGAGCCTCATGTCGTGAGCTGTGCTGTCCCCACTCACCCGGCAGATGGAGTACTTTGGCAACATCAGCATCGGAACACCCCCTCAGGAGTTCACCGTCATCTTTGACACCGGCTCCTCCAACCTGTGGGTGCCCTCCGTCTACTGCTCCAGTCTGGCCTGCTGTGAGTGCCCAGCCCTGCCCACCCCTCAGCCTCAGGCCTAGGAGCCCAGCACACTCAGGGGCTGCAAACCAGTCCCTTTCAAGTCTGCTGGGGCCACTCAGGATTCACTCGGCAGGCATCTGCTCATGCCCAGCACTGGGCTTAGGCGCCTGGTGGGCAAAGGGGTGGCTCACACACGGTCCTAGTGCTCAATGAGCTCAGGCCGGTGGCAGAGGGAAGTGGGCAGCCATGGGCCTGTGCCTCACGGTGTTTGCCTGGGGCATCCTGGGCAGGGGACTGTGGGGTCAGCTGGGGATGTTCCATCAATGATCAGAGATTGTCCCAACCGGTCTAACCAGATGGCATGAAACCTGGGAAGGCTTGGGCTCCAAAATCTAGGGAAAGGTAACCCATCTCCTCCAAAGCACCCCCCACCCAGAACCCAGGCACCCACCCCAGGAAGACAACACCGGACCATGACTCCCCACCAGCTTTCAGAGGTTGACAGTGTCACTTCTTGCCCCCACAGTGGACCACAACCTCTTCAACCCTCAAGCGTCCTCCACCTACCAGGCCACCAGCGAGACAGTCTCCATTGCCTATGGCACCGGCAGCATGACAGGCATCCTCGGATACGACACTGTCCAGGTGAGCTCCCGCTGGGGGACCACCTCACCCTGCCCAGCCCTGGGACCTGCTGCCAGGAACCTTGGGGGCTACATACAACCAGAAGCCCCCCAGAACCAGCTCGTTCCAGCAATGTGGGTCTCGGGGATCACAAAGTCACCTAATAGGGGAATGGGGAAGGGGAGGTGGCAGAGGTGTCACAGATATTTCTAGGTGGGGCAGTGGTGGGTAAGGGGTGGCGCCCGGAGCCACAAGCCCACGTCAGCCCCACCCAAGCTGAGTGCTATGGAGAAGCTAAGAAAAGTCTCAGTTCTCTTTTAGCACCTCCTGCTCCCCCCCCCACTGCAGGCCCCCCACCCCAGCCCTAATGCTCCACCAGCTCCCCCCTTCCAGGGCGCAGCACGGGGCCAGGGCTCCGGTTTGCCTGGGGCCTGTTCTGCCTCTATCAGACACACAGGCACAGGGTGACCATCTGCTCTGCAGCAAACTCTCACACCGAGGCGCAGACCGTGGCCATCTGGAGACCAGCCGCAATGGTTACCTCCAGCAGAATAACAAGTATTCCTGGGGACGGCCCCTCTCCCGTCCTTCCAGCCTACCGGCCAGAGGCAGAGTCCTGCACAGAATGAGCTAGGACGTTCCGGGCCCCGTGCTGGTGCTGCGCAGAGCCCGGTGGACGCGAGCTGATTGTGAGCAATGTGGTTTCCCCACTCAGGTCGGAAGCATCTCTGACACCAACCAGATCTTCGGCCTGAGTGAGACAGAGCCCGGCTCCTTCCTGTTCTATGCTCCCTTTGACGGCATCCTGGGCCTGGCCTTCCCCAGCATCTCCTCCTCCGGGGCCACGCCTGTCTTTGACAACATATGGGACCAGGGTCTGGTTTCCCAAGACCTCTTCTCCGTCTACCTGAGCTCGTAAGTTGGGGCAGAGGGTGTCACGGTCGCCTGGCCCAGCACAGGGCTGTCCAGGGCTGGGTGGTGTGAAGAGGTCTTAGCAAGCGAGGGATTGAAAGGGTCTGTGTCTGAGGCTTGAGAGGTGTGTCTGTAGAGAGGACAGCATCAAGTCCCTGTGCGACCAGCTGTCTTCATTTGTCTTGTCTGAGCAGCGTGAGCCTCTGTCACTTTGTCTTACCCAACTCCAGTGTCATAGCCGTTTCTCCACAGCACCAGACCCCTCATCGCTGACCCCCCAAAGACCACTGTCTGCAGTGAATCTGCTTAAAACTGGGGCCAAAATGTCACAGCAAGAAACGAAAAAAAAAAAATGGTTGAGACTTATATCTTGAACAGTGGGACTTTCAAAGGAGGAATGCAAGTTTCTTTCATTAGTTAACATCAGGTGTGACTCTGAGTTAATTCCAAGACAATGAAAAGTGAACCAAGTGTTGGTTTGGTTGAGTAGCGGTTTATGCAGGAATATCCGAGGGCATCTCCGCCTTCCCGAAGATGCCCGAATCCTCCTCTTTTGAAGTAGTTTGTCATGGCCGGTGCGTTTCCTCAGTTGTCCGCCGTTCTGTGGACACAGTGGGCCACGTGCACTGTCAGATGAAATCAGGGAAGGTGGGTGGGGTTCACTGGTGGGGACAGTCTTATCTGTGGCCAGTTCTCCGGCGGCTCATTTCTTCATGTGCATCTGCTCCCCTACTGAACCCGAATCTGCAGATTTAGACAATGACAATTCCGGTAGCACAGACCCCTGCAGTTTCCATGGATATTCCAAGGATAAAAGAGAGGCCCTTTTATCCTTTTCCCCCCACGGCCACTCAATAGTCAAGTCAGCCCTGAACGCAATTGGCCCTTACAGGTATTTCGTGTAGGGCCGCTTCATCTCTCCAGCCGGATCAGTTTCCCAATCTTAGCACCATGGACATTTTGGACCAGATAATTTCTTGCTGCCGGGGGCCATCCTGTGCCTTGTAGGGTGTTTAGCAGCCTCCCTGGCCTCTCCCTCCCAGATGCCAGTGATGGCTCCTTCCCCCCATTCAATCTCATCCATCAAAAACTCCTCCGGACACTGGCACATGTCCCTGGGGAGTGAAATGCCCCTGGCTGAGAATGAGGGCTACTTAAGAGCAAACGTGTCTTCATTTCATGTACTTTGGAACCAAGAAGACCTAGGTTCTAATCTAGGTCTGCCACTCCCTGGCTGTGTGACCTTGGGCAAATCGCCTTACCTCTCTGTGCCTGTTGGTAAAGTGGAAATAATAATCGTCATTACGGCCATGGCGGGGGTTCTGGTGCATGGATTACAAGAAACCCTGTCTGTCCCACACTCAGCAAAGCTCCTTGCACAGGCTAGAGACCAAAATAGAGAGCAAACTTCCATAGCAAAAAAAAAAAAGAAAGAAAGAAAGAAAAAGGTAGCACTTAGACTACATATAGTTTATGTTCGTTTGAATGAGCGAATGAAGGAAAGAATGAATTCCTGGTTTCCCTCCCCGCCCCGACTTTTCACAGCAACGACGAGAGTGAAAGCGTGGTGATGTTTGGCGGCATCGATTCTTCCTACTACACCGGGAGCTTGAACTGGGTGCCTCTTTCCGCTGAGACTTACTGGCAGATCACCGTGGACAGGTGAGATCACTGTGGACAGGCGACGTCCTGGCTTGGGCCCCGGACTCCGTTTCCCTATAGACTCATAGTCAGCTAAGCTTTTCAGGGTCCCGCCAGCACAGGGACGTGCACCCCAGGGGGTAAAGCTGGGAGCTGGCCAAGCCAGAGGGACCCTGGACTTTGCTGCAGGAGAGCTGTCGGAGCCCCCAAACACTCTGCAGGGATGAGACGGCCACTTTCCTTCTGGTCACAGAGGCAGGACAACCTACTGGCATCCCCAGGGAGAGCTGGAGGACCTGGCTGTCCACCTGTCTCAGCACTTAGGGGACCTGTTCCAGGACAAATGTCACTGTTAGTCTAGGGATAGGGCAAAACAACGGAGAAGTTGCTTCGGCCATCCTGTCCCCGCTTCCCCTTCAGGGCCTGCCCATCCCCCACACAGCCTCATTCCCCAGCTGTCCTTCCCTCCCCTCCCCATCCCCCGCAGGCCTGCTAGAGGGACCAATCACCCAGGTTTGCCCAGGCCAGAGCAGCGTCCTGGGACGCGAAAATCTTCAGTACTAACACCAGGACAGTCCTCCTAGACCAGGACGTGCTGGCCCCCCTGTGTCTGTCCCAGCCATGCCTCAACTTCGTCAGTTCTTCCACTTCCCACCCCCACTCCTCTTGTCCCCATCACGGCCCACCTGCCGCACGACGTCCCCCTCCAGCCCTTCACCTCCTTGCGACCTTCGGGCGCCTGCTCCCCTGAGAAGCCTCCCTGGTCGCTCCTCATCACCACCAGCCTCACTCTGGATCGTGGCGCTGGCCCCCTGCAGTGTGCCCTGTTCATCCTGCCCTTCCTTGACCATAACTTAGCTTTCCAGCTAGACTGTGAACCCCCTGCCACCAGAAATCGTGTGGCTGTCTTATCAGGCTTGGCGTCTCCCAGGCCTGGCACAGAGTTAGTAAACGTTTGTGTGTGTGAAGAAGAGAAGCTGACACTTCATATATTGGCCAATGGCTGGGGAAGAGGGGACATCCTCTGGAGTCACATGGTTCCTCCTGGGGAGGAAGGAACCCCTGACTTGCATGTTCCCCACAGCGTCACCATGAACGGCAAGACCATCGCGTGCAGTGGAAGCTGCCAGGCCATTATTGACACCGGTACCTCTCTGCTGGCTGGCCCCACCAATGCCATTGCCAACATCCAGAGCGCCATCGGAGCCAGCGAGTCAGACGACCAGGTAAACCCAGCCCTGGTGGCCCTGGTCTAGACCAAGGTGGCGGGTCTGCCATACAGAAGGCATGCAGTCCTTCTGACCCTCCCTCTTTCCAGGTGGTGGTCAGCTGCTCGGCCGTCAGCGACCTGCCCAACATCGTTTTCACCATCAACGGCAACCAGTACCCGCTGCCCTCCAGCGCCTACATCCTGCAGGTAAGAGGGCTCTGGGCCTTCCACCTAAGTGGGCTCCTAGGATGTGGCCACCTCCTCCCCCTTCACATGGGATGTGGCGGACATCTGCTCTGGACAGCCTCCAGAGAAAAAGAATACATGACAAATAAAGGCAGGAAGGAGGATTTGGACCCAGTCCCCACCCCACCCACAAGAGAAAAGTAAGGCAAATGATGGTGGCGTGAAGAGGATTTCTAGCTGAACACCTGAGTCCACACCCCAGGTTTGCATCACTAGCCCGTTGACCCGAGTGCAGTTTAGCGGCACTGGGTGAGATGGACCACACTGAAGCCGGTAAGGGCTTAGCAAATGAAAATCACAATTTGTGTAGGGTCAGGGAGAATATGCTCCTACTGTCTCTACCAAGTGACAAATCTTCGGTCAGAGGAACCACAGGAAAACCCCCTACCTTCTGCTCTGATGCCAGGAGGGAAACTTGTTTCACCCAGGGGGGTCGGTGCTGTCCAGCAAGAAGTCCTGATGTCCGGGCCACTCCCCTCAAGATGCTGATTAATTAGTAGGGGGAGGCCTGAGCAGTGGAATTTTTCAAAGCCTCCTAGGTGATTCCAGTGTGCACCCAAGGTGCTCACAACCTTGGTGAACGAAAAGGACTGAGAGCTGACCTGGTTTGTCGCTGACTGGGATCAGGATAATGAGAAAAGGCTGTGTTACCAGGGCTTCCAAAATCCTCCCTGGCAGCTTTGTTCCTAAACCCCTTCGCTCCGGTGCTGATGTCAGGCTTTGCGCACCTGCCAGAAACGCTGGGCCATGTCTCCTAGTCCCTGGAAACCGACAGTGCAGGGAACTGCTTCTGCAGGCAGAACCCAGGCAGAAAGAGCCAAGTCCCCGGATGTGAGCCAGGAAGCTTCTCTGTGCACGTGCCTCGCAGTGGGCTGTGGCCCTCGGGGCACGGTCCCCCAGCGCCGGTCCCTGCGGAGCCTGTGTCCCATCTCCAGTGTCATTCTCCTCTTCTCCAGAGCGACGATGAATGTGTCAGCGGCTTCCAGGGCATGGACCTCCCCACCTCCTCCGGAGACCTCTGGATCCTGGGCGATGTCTTCATCCGCCAGTACTTCACTGTCTTTGACAGGGCCAACAACCAGGTCGGCCTGGCCCCCGTGGCCTAAGCCCGAGTCTTTCTGGCTCCTTCCTGGGAAGATCCGGCCCCTGCTGCGTTCCCATTCTAGGTGTACATAATTCTCCCCGCTGGCCTGCCCGCGAAATTGTGGAGGTGGAATCCTGGTCCTGTCCCCTGCAATACCAATAATGTAGAATAAAAACATGACCTCTTGAAAAAACGTTCGTGGCGTTGCTTCTCTCTGTTGGTATTCCCCCTCACATCGGCAGGGTCGGGTCACCAGGGCAGGGGGACAGACACGGCCACATTCTCTCGGATGGCACCGAACAGTGACAGGGGCAGCTCACACTTTGAACGGAGTCAGGAAGACAAGTGGGCCCTGGCGGGTTCTGCTGGGAGCACCGTATACAGACTTGGGAGTCAATTACACCCCAATTTAAAAACAACAATAACAAAACAAAATAGACTTCAGAGACCAGAAATGCCAAGCCACTGCCTCTTCCTGGAACAGGGCACCTGAGTTCTTGGTTAAGGGGACTTCTTATTTCTCCCAAACCCAATAAGTGAGGGACCAAGAGCAGGTGGCCACCGGTGACGACACTCCCACGTGCGCAGGCGGGGCGGTGTTGAAGGTAAGACGTGGGCTGGAGAGTGACAGCTGCCACCGCACAGGCTGCTCCCCGTGATTAGCTGGTCGTCCAAAGTAACAGTCGAGGACCCCTCCCCACTCTGGGAACAAGACACTGACCCGATGCGCTTCCCCATCAGGAAAGAGGGCGCCTCTGTTCCCTGAACAGGGATTTCTGGAAAGGAAACTGAGCATGCTCATTAGCAGATGTGCCCCGGAAGTGCAACCAGGAAACGGAGCAGGGTCTCTCAGTGATTCCGAGACCCAAATGTTCCATGAAAACCCAAGTTTCGAGATAAACGTGGAACACAGTGTTCTAGGCCGTTCTGTGAGGTTCACAGGGCACACGGCGCCCCCGCCAAAGGCCCTGAGAAGTCCTGCTGCAAAGCGATCGGTTTCATGCAGCGGAGCTGGCCCTCTGCCCGCCCTTCGCTCTGAACCTGCGCTGGCCGTGCTCCTCCGCACGCACGTTGGAGGAGTTCCCACCGCTACTGCCTCTGCCGGCAGCTGGATTCCAGACCGTTCGCAGGAGACGCTGCCGGGGAGCTGGGCCTCCCTGCTGCGCGGGAGTGACCTTGGGGTGACCAGAACAACAGAGTGTTAGATACTCTACTGTCACGTCATCCTACAATGTGTCATCTGTCACTCCCACAAATACAAGATTAGGGCTCTAGGAAGGGACAGCTGAGAGATCTTTTGAAACATAAATTTGATCTCATCCCTTCCTTGCTTGAAACTTTGAATTAATGCCTTCCCATTGCACTTGGGTCAGACGATAAAGCCTTGGCATGGCCTTCAGGCCCCGCAAGCTCCAGTCCCTGCGCACCTGCCCTGCCTCGCCGGATCCCTCTTACCCTGAGCGCCCGTCACCCTGGCCTTCTTCCACCTCCACGAACGCTCAAACGTCTTCCCCACCTCCGGCCCTTTGCACACACTGTTCCCTTTGCCTGGGTTGCTGTCCCCTTCCTCCTGACTTGCTGAGACCTGGCATCCTCTCAGCTGAAACATCACTCCCCTGCAAGGCCATCCTAACCACCTTCGCACAGAATCCGGCCCTCCTGTCCTTCCTGGCACTCGGCGCAGCTGGCAACCACGCACCGGTGGGGGTGCTGGTCTCGCACCCACCAGGGCAGGGGCTGTGATGGCCTCACTGTTGGAGCCCCAGGGCCTGGCACACAGTAGATGCTCGATAAATATGTGTTGACTGAGTGATGAATTTGAGAAGATTTTTATAAGGAAACAGCTCGGACAGGGTGAGAGAGTGGATCTGATTTGACTGAGGTCATGCTTAAGACAACAGGTGGGTCTGCTGCCCCACCCCCACCAGCAATTCTGTCCCCGTCATATTTGGTCATGGGACCAACAGGTGGACTTCTCAGATTTCTGGGGAGGAATTTCACGGTGCCCTGGCTCATTGGCTGTTGGCATTTCTGACATTTTCCGAGCACCCCCTGTGGGCCAGGCTGTGTGCTGGGCTCCAAGGACACGGGCGGGTCTTCCCGGACCCTCCCTGTTCCGGTGCGGGCCACCAGCTGCCTCCTTCCCCACCCTCAGTTCTGCCACTGCAGCTCCGCTTCTCCCTCCCAGCCCCGCTTCTGTCCCCTCACCCTGGGATTCCTGCATCCAGACGGAATCTAAAAAGGCTCCCCACGAAACAGACCCTTTGAATCGAAAAACCCTGCGCTAACATATCCGATCGGACACTTCCCACTTTGCTCCGCAGGATAAGATGGACTCGTCTTCCTTTTCTCCCGTCTCAGGACCTTTCTCCATTCATTGTTCTTTATTTCCTGTGGGCCTCAGGGGTCCAGGCTCTGCTCACTTTTCATCTACGCTTGTCCAGGAGGGTTATTTTCACCTCCCAGGTCTCTGCTCCACTCATCTGGGGAGCCCCCCTCCCCGAACACAGACTCTCGCACGTTTGATGGGAGCACAGATTGGGACCAGCTCTACAGAGGGCCGTGTGGCAATACCCTTCGAGACCAGAAATGCGTCTGCCTTTGGGCCCGGTAACTTCAATTCTGGGAATTTGTCTTAAAAATAACACTTGCACACGTGCAAAATGTCAGTAGAAGGTTATCCTTGGTAGCATCTTTTGTAGGAGCAAGATGTGAAACCACCCAAATGTTCACCCACAGGGAATAATTTAACGACTCCGGAGCGTGCATGCCAGGAGCTGCTGCGTGGCTGCGAAAAGGGAAAGATGAACGAGCTTGCGTGCTGCGACCTGGGACACGAAGATCTTCAAGAGAGATCGCTAGGTGGGAGAAGGCAGGTGCCAGTCGGGCCCAGACTACGCTGTGTTTATAAAAAAGAATAATAAGGTTTGCCTGCACATACACCAAGGAAGCGAGGCACCCAAGAACCGGAGACCACAGAAATGAGAAGGGGGGAGCTGGGTGGATATGGGGTGGGGGAGACCTCGCCCTGAATACAACTTTCCCTGTTTTTATTTCTAAGGACGTAGATGTACTACACATTCAAAGCAAGTTAAGGAAAGGTACTTTTAAACCTCTGAGACCTTATCCTAACATAAAACTTCAAACCTGTGGTTTGTCTCTGGGCCGGTTCTCCCAACCACCTCCACACCTGGGTTTGGTCCCCGGCCCTCGGGGAATCCCCAGATCCAGTGACACTGACCGTGCAGAAGAGGCCCTGGCACACAGAAGGCTGCTCAGAGCCGTGGACGTGGAGTTGCAGGCCTGGGCAAAGCCAGGGTGTGTTCACCCAGGGACGCCCTCCCCTCCCTGCGTGTGTGAGCCCCGGCTGCTGGGGATTCGGTGCAGCCCCTCCTGCTTGTTCAGAGCTCCACATGCCCAATGTGAGGTCCTGATGGTGGTCCCCCGGCCTCCTGGAGCCACCCTGGGCGGCGGGCCCTGCACACTGGGGCTTACTGTGGACAGAGCATGTTCTTGCCAAGTCAGATTCCGCCGGGGCCCCCAGCACGTCACCACACTGCCTGCCCATGGGGAAGGGAGGACCCCTGCTCCAAGGGGCCCCGAGAAGAGACTGTGCTGACCACAGCGTGAGGCTGTGAGAGCCCTGGCCTAGCCGGGAGGTCCTCTGCAGGTGGTCCCGGCACCTCTTCCCCAGGAGCCTTGTTGTGCCAGCAGCAAGCAGACGGGAGGCAGGCAGGCCCTTGGGCAGGGCCGGCTGGACGTGCCAGGAACACGAGTGGCATCTTCAGGCCCTTACGGTGGCAGCCCTGAGGCCTGTGCTCCCTGGAATCCCAGAGGGTCTGCAGGCCTGAGTAGCAATTCCCTGTAGCAGTGACCCCTCTTTCATGCATCTCGACTGGTTTTCTCCCTTCCCCATCTCCCTTCCCCCTTCTCCACCTGCTCCCTGGGGTCACTTCCCAGGTCAGTGAGTCACACGCTCCCAAATACGGACCTCTGGGTCTGCCCCCGGGGGGAGCCCAAACTCCGCTCAGGTGGTCACGATGCCCTCTCATCAACTGTAGCAATCAACCGTCTCTCTTAAATTCCCGCAGAAGAGAACCCAACCCCATGCGATGTGAAGGGAGAAAGCCCAGACTGGGCGTTGGGACAGGGCTGTCCTCCCAGCTCAGCCTTCGTACCCTGTGCAGCCACAGGACGCTCTCCCAACCTCTCTGAGCCTCTGTGGTCCCGGCTGTAAGGTGGGGGTGGGGGTGAGGAAGGGTCCAGATAAGCAGTTTTGTACTTGGACCAACTTGGGGAAAATGTGTGCAGCTGTCCCCCTGCCCCTCCCCCATGCTTTTTTTTTTAAACATTTGAAATAACATCATTTCCTTGAGTTCTGGGGCGGGGGAGGGGGGTGGGGGAGACCGGTATTAACACTTGAGTTGCACCCTTTGTTAAACAGAGGGTAAGGATGGGACAGTTGGCCTTGACTTTCAGCCACCACCGTGTGGACGACCAGCTTGTTCAAGAAGCCGCCACGTGGGGGCAGCGGCTGGGGTCCTGCAAGTCTGTCCTGAAATTAGATCCCAGGTGGCATCAGGAAGCTGGGTGGCTGCACAGCGTCACGTGGAGGCAGCGCCACGAGGGAGGGTCAGGGTCCCACCACACAGACGGAGGCGCCGAGCCCCGAGGTCCCTCGGCCAATGGAGGCTGAGCAGGGCTCAGAGCTGGTCGGGGCACCCAGCCCTCCCCCTTAAATTAAATGCCACCTTCCTGTCTGAGCCTCTGCATCTCTCAGCACTTTACTCCACAGCCCCCTCGGGCTTCAGTGGCAGCAGGCGAGTGACACAGTGACATCATAGTTCCCGGTCTCCCATCTCCACCTGACGTGCCCCATAAATGACAGCACTGTCCTCTTTCCACCTGTCATGGAAACTAGGCTGCACTACCCAGACCCCCGCCCTTCCCACTGGCAGGCGTAGTCCCCCAGCTGCTGGGGGGGTTGCCGGCTGACAGCCCTCCGCCCTCGCCCTCGTAGGCAACTGCCTCAGCTGAAGGGAGCTCCTCGCCCAAGGTCACGCCGCTGTCCTGGGGCAGCCCAGATGGAATTACCGACCAGCATGGGCACACAGAGCTGTCCCTTTGCCTTGCCTCAGGACATCTCTGAAGAATGGGGCATCTGGCCTCAGAGCTCCCCAAGGGGGCTGGCTGAGGCCTGGAGATGGGGGGGCAGCCGACCTCTCCCTCTCGCCCGCCCCACAGGTGTCAATGACAAGGACCAGCTGCCTGCTGCTCCCCTCCCGCCCAACCTGCAAAGGCCTCTCCTCCATCCCTCTTTTTCCTGCTCACTTCAGAAGTCTCCCAGCATCCAAGGCCACCAGGGGCTTACACCAGACACCTCCCCAACACAGCCCCAGTCTGGGGCAGGCTTTTCTCCCCAGTGGGGTGGGGATTGGGGTGGAGCTTTCCCACCTTTCCAGTGAGAAGTGAATGAGCAAGCAGGGCAGCCTGGGGGAGACTGAGACAGCCTTTAATCAGGACACCTCGGTGAGGACAGTAACGCTGGCTGGCGGCACAGTCCCAGTGGAGTCTCAGGCCCTCACCACCTCCAGTGGAGGCAGCTCGGCAGCCCAGCCTTCCTCGAGAGAGCCTGGGCCTCCCAGGGATGATGCTGCCCCCAGAGAAGGCATCTGCTGCCCCCCACGGCACATTCCAAATGCTTCCTGGGAGCAAGGCGATGTCAGCCCTGAGGGTCTGCCATGGCCCCAGCAGCCCTGCAGGAGTGAACCTCGCTGGCCCCCACGGCATTCCTGCACACTCCCACGGCCACTGGCGGCTTCCTCTGTCTGGCATCTCCTGGGCGTGGCCCTGAAATGGAGGCCGCCTCACCCGGTAGGCTCCTCTCTGCGTGAGGTCCCCCTTGTGGGCTGCTGGGGGCCAGGGCTGGCGGTAGCCACAAGGGCTGCAGAGAGTCTGGAGGTGGTGGGAGAGAGTCTGCGAGGCCTGAGGGCGGTGGAGGCCTCTGAGGGGCCAGGGTCTGTCGTGGAACGGGCTGAGGCATCAGTCAGGACGGCTGCAGGCAGAGAAGGCAGCCTGGCCGCCGTGTGGGCCCCAGAGGCTGGGGTCAAAGGCTCTGGAGCAACAGGAGGTGGCCCAGGAGCACCGGGAGAGGCTGGAGGTAGAGTGGAGGCTCCTGGCACGATGGAAGGCCCTGGGGACGGCCCTGCGGGGGGCGAGGGTGAGGCGGGGGCTCCCGAAGGGCTCCTGGGGAAGGTTTGCCCGTCAGACACGTTCGTTCCTAAGAGGATCTGGAGGAAACGGAGCGCTGGCCTCTGAGGCAGGGCTGCCGGGGGCCCGGGGCAGGAGCTGCAGTTGACGGGGGCCTCGGGGTCTCTGCGGGGACTCCGAGCCGCATTGCTGAACTCCACGTCCCTGGAAGAGCCGAGTCCCCGCCTTTCTTCCAAGGAATCTAGAGACAGGTGGGGGAAACAAGAGGCCTGCGTTTCTCCGGGAAGCTGAGGCTGTTCTGGGACAAGCTGCATGGAAACAGATGCCCAAGCTCTGTCCTCTCCTGGTCCTCAGACACCTGGTGAGGGCCAGCCGGGGCCTGTCTTGGGGTAGGAGGCACCAAAAAAACAAGACTGGGCCCTGGCTGGTGTGGCTCAGTGGGTTAAGCGCTGGCCTATGAACTGAAAGGTTGCTGGTTTGATTCCCAGTCAGGGCACATGCCTGGGTTGCAGTCCAGGTGCCCAGTAGGGGGCGTGCAAGAAGCAGCCCACTGATGTTTCTCTTGCACATAACTATTTCTCTCCCTGTTCCTCTCTCCCTTCCCCTTATTCTAAAAATAAATAAAATCTTAAAAAAAAACAACAACCCTGGACGCACGACACTTTGAAAATCGTCAAAGGACAGTCGCACAACTCTGTGAATATACCCAAAGCCACTGACTGTGCACTTGGACCATGCGAATCGTATGGCCTGTGAACTACACCTCAAGCAAGCTGAGTTTGGGTTTTTTTGGGGGGGTTCTTCTGAGAACCAAAAAAAAACACAACTCATATTCTAGTTCAATAAAAAGTGGTTTGTCCTTAAAAGGACTTCTCATGAGGAAAAGTCCCATGGAGAACGAACTGAGGCCTTGTGCTTCCGAGCAGCTGGCTCTGCGCCCCCTTCTCCGGGCCTCGCTTTCCCCATCTGGAGGGGGGAGCAGAGTGGGAAGGAGCAGGGCAGAAGGGGTCCGAGAGGCCGGGCCCCAAGTCCGACACCAGCCAGCACCGACAGCTTTAAAACAGACACTTAGATGCTCTCAGCCCCTATTGCCCCATCTGAAGACGGAGATGAGAGTGACAGCCCCTCTCAAACGTTCCCAGGAGCATTCAAATGAGATGATACAGGTAAAATGCTCCGTACTCTGCCCAGCACCTTTGCTAACATCTGGTCTCCAGGCAGCATGGGGAATGATACCCATCAGCTTGCAGGGCAGTTGGCAGTGGTTAAACTGAAGAAGGAACTATAAAGCTCTCGGTGGTTCCCAAGGTGGGTTGCACAGACTCCGGCGGTCTCTGGCCCCCCACTCCTGACAGCAGCTCGTCACCCACAGACTTGAAGAGCTACTCTAAATACAGAACGTCCTCTTCAAAAGCCCAAAGGCATTAAAAGCTATTTTATGCGCGAGGAGATTTAGGCCATAAATCAATGAGAGAATTCATTGTCTTCCCGGAAGTTTAAAAAGCATAAAAGAGCCACATTTAAGGTGCTTTATGGACATGTTAAATGGCAAAAATTGAATCGCACACATTCAGAATCGAGGTGGTAGGCGTTGGGGGACCAGCCACCTTGCTGTAAGTTTCCTCTTTCTCCAGGACTCCGTCGGCTGCGTGCTGTCGTTCCACTGTGCCAGTTACCAAACCACGCGGATGCCCTGGGACCCTGGCACTCCATCTGCTGACCGCATGTCCACATGCAACTCACAAAATAAAAAAAAAAGTTGCCTGGCCTCAGCTGGTGTGGCTCCGGGGATGGAGCGCTGACCTGTGAACCGAAAGGCCACCAGTTCAATGGCCCATTGGCGCACATGCCTGGGTTCCAGGCCAGGTCCCTGGTTGGGGGTATGCAAGAGGCAACTGGTTGATGTATCTCTCACACTTCAATGTTTCTCTCCCTTTCTTTCTCCCTCCCTTCCCCTCTCTCTAAAAGTAAATAAAATCTTTTAAAAAAAGCTGTCTGACCAAAGATTTTTCACCAGAGGTCCATTATGGTTAGAATAAAAAAGAAAGAGAGAAACCACCAAATATTAACCAAAAGGCAGCAGGTGCGCCAGGTATGCGTGTAAACCAGAACATCTGGGAGCTTTTCAGGTGACCAGCTCAGGGCCACATCAGTACTTCAAAGCTCCATGTTCCGGCAGGTCATCTGGGCGCTCTCTCTTCCTCTGGAAGGAGTGGACACGGATGAATATCAACACGGAGAAAGACAAACAGGAGAGAATAATGCTCAGCAGTCAGGACAGCGTAGAAGCTAAAAGTATCGACTCCAGGCGCAAATCCTGGCTCTGTGGCCACTCAGCTGTGTGACCCTGAGCACGCTGCTTTGCCTCTCTGTGCCTCAACTTCCTCGCCTGGAAAACAGGGGTGACAGCAGCGCCTGTCTCCACAGGGCGCTGTGAAAAGGGGATGGAGTCGGACCTGCGATGTCCTGACACATGAGTGCTATACGAACCTGTTAGCGACGACACTTCTGCAACGCGGGTTCAGTCCCTAAATTTTGATTTTTTCAAAAAGGAGGAAAGTGGAGGAAGAGGTGAAGGAAAGGGATCGCGGAGAAGAAAGAGGCACCGTAAACAAGCCAACCTGTCACACGGCATTTCACGGGGTGGTGCGAGGAGCACGGATGAGGGTCGAGTGTGGCCTTGAGCAAGCCATGTTCCCTCTCTGAGCCCGGGTGTCTCACACCCAGGGCTTGGCCAGGTCTGTGTTTCCAGGAGGAAGAGCAAAGTGGGACAAGGCGGCGGAGGAACGCCGAGACCCAGAGGCCTGCTTACCTGGGCAGGATGGGCAGCAGTGCCCAGGGGACACGGAGGGGTCCGCACAGACCCGCTGGCAGGGGACCGTCTCACAGCTCACCTCTCCCAGCTGGGGAAGCAGAAGGGCAACACATGAGGACACCCAGAGTGCCTCACCCACCCGGAGCGGCACCCCCAAAGGCCTCTGGCACCAGCAGTGGGACCCACGGGAAGGTCTGGGGACAGGGGCTGCAGTGCCTGGCCCTCGCCTGGACGACCGGCGAGGCCAAACGCAGCAGGTGGCCTTAAGGAAACCACAAGAGGGAGGATACAGTCACACCCGAAGGTGCTCCAGCAGGGGACTAAGGATGAAGAAAGTTGAAGAAAGGCAGGAGGAAGATGGGCTTACATGGGCTGAGGGGCTCCGAGGTTTGCAAAGGGACCAAAGGCAAGAAGCGGCCCCTGGTCGGGCAGCTCCCAGCTCCCAGGCCCAGCCCACCTGGCACGTGCACTGGGTGCAGGGCTCGTCGTCCAAGGTGAACACCTGGCCGTTCACCACCTTCCTTCCCTCGTAGTTGCAGTCTGTGGGGGCAGAGGAGACGGGGCCCATGAGAGCCAAGGCCACCCTGGGGCCCGGGGCATGGGGGGGCGGGTCCCACTCACCTTGGCACACCGGGCAGCACTCCCCGTCGGGGTGGAAGGGGTAGGTGCAGGCGATGGGGCAGTCCACGGGCGAGCAGGCCACTGAGCCCAGCTGCAGGACACAGAAAGTGCACACGGCCCTTCGTTCCGGGGGGCCGATGGGACCCTCGGGAAGGACAGGTCACACAGCCACAGAGTGTGCCCCTTGGCACCACCAAGGTTGGGGGAGAGGTCCATGGCGGGGCAGGGGAGGGGGTCGTTCACTCGGTCAGAGTCTGTCTGCCTGCTAAGACACAAGCCCACAAAGCCAAGGGCCTGGGCTCGTCCACAGACCTCACCTGTCATCAGGCACCTGTTGAACAAAGCCACGAACTGCCCAAACAAGGTGCGCACCACACCCCAGGAGGAGGAAGGACCCGGGAGCCGAAGCTCCCGTAGCACAAGCATGTGAATGAGCGGGGACACTCGGAGGCCCAAGACGTTCACACCGACCGCCCCTTCTCGCTGCACCTCACCCTCCACCCACGGGGAACGTTTTGGCATGACCAGCAGTCAGGATTTTCACTCCGGTCCCCAAACGCTGACTGACTCTACTACCAAAGGTGCTTTTTCAGACTGAGGGGCACCAGGGGAGGGGCAGAAGTGCACTTCCTGGAGCACAGGTTCCGAGGGTGAGGGTTGCATCCCTGGCACCGCAGTTCACGGGCTGTGGGGTCTTGAGCCTCGGTTTCCCACCTAGCAGATGGAGAAGATGGTGCCGCCGGCCTCCTAGGCCTGACTGAGCCCATGCAGGTGAAGGGCTGAGAGCAGGGCTGGCCCCGCCAAGAACCCGAGAGGGCGTGGGCTGGAGTCCCTCACCGGCACCAGGTCACACGCTTAGGACTGGCCCCCAAGACCCTCCCTGGTCACCAGAAGCAGAGGACTTTGCCAGGGCAGAGAATGAAAAATGGTCCCCCGGCCCTGGGTGAAGATTCACCCTGGGAAGGGCTGGAGGGAGCCGACTGTCACCAGGACCCAGAAGTGACCTTTCTCTTGGAGGTCCCTGGACTTTGCCTCCAGGGTTCAGGAGCTGGTGGCAGTCCCTGGGGAGTTTCTGCAGACAGGGGTCAGGTCTGGGCGGCCGTACCAGGCAGATGCAGCTCAGACACGGGTCCAGCACAGACGGAAAGGTCTGGTTGTTGTGGAAGATCCTGCCTGTGTAGGTGCAGCCTGCCAGAGGGAGCACTCAGTGAGCGCCAGTGGGTGGGGCCGGGGAGGGGGAGGGCTGGTGAGCGACCAGCCAGGCTCAGGGCCCCAGGCCGATGGGGGAGTGAAGGTCAGGCCAAGTGCCTCCTGCGCCAGTTGCCCCAGAGGTTGGGGAAGGGGCAGAACACGGGTCCAGATGGGATGCTGACTTTTTGCACTGGATGCAGCAGAGGGGCCGGTGTGTCTTCACCGCAGGGTCCTCCCAGCACCGCTCCCCTCCGCTCCCGCACCGCCCCCCTCCGCTCCCGCACCCCCTGATGAAGTGTCTCCTCCTCTCCCCTCACCAGGCGGAGGGGCTGGAAGACTGAACCCGGGAGCCCCACGCAGCCACCCTCTCCCCCCCCCCCCCCGCCAAACCCCACCCTCCAGAGCATTCCCTCCTCCACGCCGCGCCCCCTCTGTCTCCTGATGCCCAGAGACCCATCTAGACGGGGCCTCCTTGGTGGCATTTACCAGGCACTAGTGAGTAAAAAAACAGGGGATCAGACGGCAGGGAAATGTTTTAAAGGCAAATACATATAATATATTAGAGAGAAATATCTATCACAGAGATGTGACATATAAATGTAGATGATACATCATAAAAAGAGACTAGGAAAACAACACCATGAAGTTTAAAAGCGGTAACAGGCCCTTCCAAATGTTCTGTAACAAAACATGACTTCTGAGTCAGGGGGAAAGGTAAAAGTCTCTATAAACAAAATATCACTTTCATGTGTTCTCCCTGTTGCTTGTCACCCCACCTAAGCTGTAAGCTTCGCACATCTTCATATCTGCCTCCGGCAGCAGACAGCCCCTGCCACGGGCCCGTTCCCTATGTCTCTGAGCCTCAGTTTCCTCATCTGTGAGATGGGCTGCCCGTGGGGCGGTTGTGAGGATTCCCCGAGATGAAACCCACGTGGTGCGTTGCACGGAGGGGCCCAGGATGGGGAGTCCGAAGGCGAGGCGGGGAGGGGTGCTCCGCGGCCCCCACGGGGAGTTTACCTGCCGAACAGTCCGGGCAGCACTGTCCAGGGATCCGAATCGGGTGCGGGCAGGAGTCCACGCAGTCTGTCCTCTGGCAGCTCACGGAACCATCTGCCTGAAGAACAAGGAACTTCACCAAGATCCCACCTGCAGCACCGGTCTCCACCTCCACGCCCCACTCCACCCTCCCAGTCCCCCCCCCCCACCAAAGGCGGCAATGCTGCGAATCGGCCAAGGCTTGCCCTAAAGGGCACCCTGGTGCAGTGGGAGGTGGCAGGTCCCCCCGAACAGGGACCGCCACTTGAGAAGGAGGCATGAGTCTTCCGAAGATGCCCATGTCCAAAGAGAGGGAATGTGCAAACTGGGGTTCAGTCTCCTCAGCTTCCTGTCCCCGCCCCCCCACCCCGCCACAGCAGCCAGGGTTGTACCGCCACACCCCCGCCCCGCCCCCAAATTCCACTCCCGGTGCAGGAACCCTGGCTCACCCCACACCCACGGAGCGTAATACAATCCTATTTTTACACTCCACCTGAAAATCTGTTTCAGAAGACAAAGGTGCCATGTAATCTTTCTTTCTTTCCCTAAGAGTCTCAGTGTTTATGAACATTCAGCGTTTCTTTCTCACAACCCAAGTGCCCAGCTCAGTCCCGACGGAGAAAGAAGGCAGCAGCCGCACTGCCCTCCCAACTCTAATTCCAGCGAGCCGTCTCCCAGGTCTGGAAGAGCCTGAGGCTGATTGACAAATGGCCCATGAAGGACTGGAAGGTCGTGCTTCCCACATGCTGCCGAACACCTCCCCACCCACACCCAGTGGTAAAGCGCTGCTTCTGCGCTGCAGCTCCGGGCAGCCCCAAGACTCCGCGTGTCCACCAGGCTCCAAGTGACGCCCACAACACCAAAGGCACGGGGACCTCGCCTTGAGACACAAGGGTCTAGAAGAATCTAAACTCTTTTAATGTAGAAAGGAAAGCCAACGTGCGCTTCAACGATGAGCTAAAACAACTGTGCTTCCTGGTAGCGGCTGTGTTGGTATTTCCATCCATCTGACTCTGAAACTCAAGCACCCGGCCCCTGCCCACTCCTGATGAGACAAGGTCACGTGACTCAGGTTAATGCCGAGAACACCGAGAGTTCACAGAAAAGGCCTGAACAACTGGCTGCCCCAGCCCCTCACTTATCTGTGCCCAGGGGAACCTGCTATGAGGAATCCACCGCTGCACGCACAGCACGGCACACACCGCTCTCAAAGCAGAGAGCCGCGCCCCATTGCCCCCAACAGTCTACCAAGGACAGAGAGGCTGAGTCCCAACCTTTTCTGTCTAAATGGAGCCTGACAGCATGGGAACCAGACCGAAGGCAGGGCTGGGTGGCCCAGCGTCCGGAGGGGCAGGGTGCCCCAGATCAGAGCACCCGGGGCCAGGCCGAGGGGTCTGCTTAGACGAGGCGGGAGCAGCAGGAAAGCAGCTGAAGGCGCGCAGGTTGTCATTCACCTGGCAGATGCATAACTCACAGGGGTCACCAGGAGACCAGATCTGTCCCACCGGAAACTCGGCCCCGTTGTCGTCGAGAGAGCAGCCTGGGCGGGGAACAGCAAGGGAGAAAGGACGACTGGGCACAGGGACCGAGGAGGGTCCTGAGTGCCTGCAGGACCTACGGCTCTGCCCAGCAAGGACAGACGCCTCCACTCCCTCACGCCGTGGAGACAGCTCCGAGGGTGTGCACTCACCCCGGAGGCTGCTCACGGCTGCCTGCCGGCTCCCTCACCTGGTGAGTGAGTGTGCCCTCCAAACCTGCACCTGGTGCACACAAGGCAATCACACAAACGTGTGCTTCCATATGCACCCATAAACACACACACACAGAGAAGCGACCATGCACAGATATACAGACACATGCACAAATACGCAAACACACACTGACACACACACGCAAACACACACTCACACAGGCCCACAGATAGATACACACACATGCCAACTGACACACTCAGACTCACTCTAACAGTGCAAGGGGTACAGCCCAGCCTCCCTCCTCAAGGGCCTGTGTTGGGCGCAGCCCTGGGATGCGGGGCTGGGGGCCCTCACCTGTCATGGGCCTGGGCTCCCGGCAGGTGAAGCAACACTGTCCAGGGCCCAGCCACCACTCCTCACGGGGGCAGTCCAGCTCTGGACACGGTGTGAAGGAACATTCCACTTCCCCATTCTGGAAGAAAGCGAAAGGGCATGGGCCAGTGAGGGCAGTTCCCCAGCCCTGGGCCATTGGAGGGCTGCCATCCCCCTCCTTAAAGTGACAAATCTCCAGGGAGCAGGGGAGAGAGGAAGGAAGGGCGAGTCCTTCCCTGGGGGCTGGGGTGAGGCTGGTGGGTCCTGGGAACGTGCCAGCTACTCTGTGTGGAGGGTGCCCTGGCTGCCCTGCCTGCAGCCACGAGCATCGCTTCCCTTCACGTCTGCAAAGCAGCTTCTGTTCCGGCTCCCTGTGTCCTGCTCTCTCTCCAATCCGCTCTCGCTCTGCAGCCGGAGAACTTTCTCACGCACCCATCTGATCACATCACTCCATCCACCACCTAAAACCTTCAGCAGCGCTGCCAGGTCCGAAGCCCTCAGCCTGGCCAGCAAAGCCTTTCACAGCTGAGTCTGAGGCACGGGCTGTCACAGCTCCCCCAGGCCTCCCCCTCAGTACTACCCTTGGCCATGGAGGACCATGTCTTCCAGGTGCCGGGTGGTTCCCCCACCCCAACTCCCTGGGGAGCAAGAAAGCACACACAAGTGACTAATGCTCCCTGGGCTCCAACACGCCCGTCTGTGCCGTGCAGTGCCCACTCCAGAGGCCCGGGGTTGTCAGCCTGAGCCCCAGTCTTCACTGGGCTCCCTCCCCTGACCCTCCTGCTTCCCTCACCTCGGAGCACTCCCTCGGAAAGTACCTTCTCCCACAGGAATCTCGTCCTGGAATCTAACCCGAACACCATCCCAACCCCTGCCTGAAGCCTCATCTCTTACCTGCCTCTAGCTGGGTGTGTTCTGTGCTCCAGCCAGGATGGCTGCCTGCCACGCCCTCTCTGTTGTCTCCTGCCCCCTGCTGGGCACACCAGCCTCAGCTCCTCACCTGCTCAGTACTGGCCATCCCTCAGGTCTCGCCTTAGCGTCCCTCCCTCCAAGAGGGCTTCCCCGAAACCTGCAGTCTGGCTAGGAGCTCTGGTCACCTGTCCATCATCTACCTAGGCTGTGGAGCTCCAGCACTCAGCATTGCTCCAGGCACATAGTAGGTGCTCTACAAATAGCACTGCTGAAGGATGAACGTCAAGGAGCCTGTGGAAGGCCTTGGAGAGTGCAGGTCCCTTGAGTCCCCTCCCTGCCTCAGTCCCTTTTTCTGCATGGCAGCCCCTCTTCTCCTGGACAAGTGCTGTGCCCTGCACCCTCCCTGTCACCCACCAAGGCAGCCCCTACCTGGCAGACACAGGTGGTGCACTCGTCACCACCCCCACTGAACACAGTCCCATGTGCATACCACCGGCCGTGGAAATAGCACCTCACTGCGGAGAGGAAAGAAAGAAGCAGCTCAAGGTTTGGGTGCAGGCGGCTAAAGAAAAAGGGGAGAAAACGGGTGGGGGCCCCTGGGGAAGTTCACACACTCCCACAGCACAGCCCACGCCCGAACACCTCACTCACTTCTCCCCTCCAAACCCCTGACAAAAAACACACTATTACTTCAACACTGACAGACGATGAAGCACGTGTAAAATAAGGTCCTTAACCGAAAGGGCGAGGGAAGCCCAGAATAGCTCTAGAGGAGGAGGAAAGAAAAAATGGAAAAAGACTGCACCGGACACCTGACGCGGCTCGGGGAACCGTGCCACCCCGGGGAGGCTGGGAGGGCTCAGTGGGGGCCTCCCCTTTGAGGGTCCCCCACAGGAATAAACAGCCTAAAACCGGCCCGGGCCCACCTGGCACTCGTCGGACTGCCCTGGGTTCAAATCCTACCGATCCAACCCACCAGGGAGTGACTTCCGGCGCGACACTGAAGCTCACTGAGCCTGTTTTCTCATCTGTTCAGTGGGGCTGATAACAGTTCCTACCTCCTAGGGACTATAGCGCCTATTCAACAAAAATTCAGTTAAAAATAATACAACGGTTAAAAGTTAAGAAAAAAATTTTAAAAGGATGCCAATTTTGGAATCAGGTAGACTTGAGTTCAAGTTCTGCTCCTGTACTAACTGGCTGTGTATCTTTGGGCAGTGACTTGACTCTCCGAGCCTCAGTTTCCTCATCTATAAAATGGGGCTATGAACAGTACTCCCTCAGGGCACTGACACGCAGATTCGCTGGGATCAAGGTCTGGCAAGTGTCCGCAGGGCAATGACACAGAGCTGGCGGGGAATATCGGTGACGGTGATGAGGTCATCCCAGGCAAGAGAACCACATTTTTAACAAAGGACCAACTCACTGGCGGGGGAGATGAGGTCTCCTCTCTGTCTCAAGACAGGGCACTGCCAACAGTGGGCTCAATCCCCTTCCCACCTGTCTCGATGGTGCCTCCAGGGGCAGGGGCAGGCCAGGCTGTGAGCCCAATCTAGCACCAAAACCACTGTGCACATAGTAGGAGTTCAATTAAAATGGGTACTTTGAAATGTATCACTTGATCTGAGGGCCTAAAGCAGACATTGACCTACTTCCTGTCTCCTCCACTCAAAAAGACACTCCTCCCCAGAACACACAAAGAGGCTAAATTCACCCTGGCTGGTGTGGCTCAGCGGGTTGAGTGAGGGCCTGCAGACCAAAGGGTCTCCGGTTCGATTCCCAGTCAGGGCACATGCCTGGGTTGCAGGCCAGGTCCCCAGTTGGGGGCGTGCGAGAGGCAGCCGATCAATGTTTCTCTCACACGCGGATGTTTCTTTTCCTCTCTTTCTCCCTCCCTTCCCCTCTCTCTACAAAAGAAAATAAAGCCTTTTTTAAAAAGAGCACTAAGTTCTCACCTGGAACACAAGTACAGCAGTCGGACTTCGGGGAGGTCGGACACGGGCCGGGAGGACACTCGGGGGAGATGCAGGACACATTCCCGGCCTGAGGAGGTGAGAGACCATGGTGGGCGGGGCAGGAGGAGAACCAGGCCCATCCAGAACCAGTTCTCGCCCCACATCTCACACCACGGCTGAGCTTTCCTGTCCGACGCAGAAGCCTCCTAAAGAAAGCCTGAGAAAGCCTTCCCGGACCTTTAAATGCCACCATGGTCACAGCAAGGACGGTCTGCGGGAACCCAGTGTCTGCAGCTTATTATGGGATGGCTAGAACAGCTGTTTCCAGAGCAGGCTGCTTCCCGGTGGAAACGACGCCCCTCACCTTCCGCAGTGCTCCCTTCGATAGCGCGCGGAAGCTCTGGAAGGTGCCAGAAGTGCGGGACAGATGCTACTCCACCAGGGACACCTGCCAGCACATCTGAGATTTGAACCAAGTGACTACACGAGCTATTCAAAGAATCAAGTTTTGAAAACTTGAAGTGAAGCCCCAAAAGCCCCTGGCTTTGGAGCCAGCCAGCCCCGGGTTCCAGGGTCTGCTCCTCCACTAAGGAGCCGAGTGGCTTTCGGCAAAGTGCGTCACCTCTCTGAGCCTCAGTTTCCCCACCGACCAGGGGATGCCGAGGCTTACGTGGAAGGAGATCACCCACAAAAGTGCTTGGCCACTGTGGGTGTGGCACCCAGGAAGAGCTCGACAGTGGGTGTGGTAGCTGTCTACATGTCTCCCCACCCCGGGGGGGGGGGCACTGTCAGACCCGGGCTGCTTCTAAAGATGGTCACAGAGGGGCAGTGAGGGTTGGTGGACAAAGTCCGGGCTGTGGATGCAGACGGACCTCTGCTCCGTCCCAGCCCCAGTCTTTTCATCTATAGAACAGGGACAACAAAGCTGACCTTGAAGAGCTGGCAGGAGCCTCAGGGGAGGCATTAGGTGACAAGCACCAAGGCCCGTGCCTGGCACACACTGGGTGCTCATAATCAAATATGTGTGACCGAATCTGGCAGTGCCTGGCACACAGTAGGTGCTTCGTTGGTATTCCTGGAGGAGTGAATATGCCTAGAGCAAAACACTTGTCACAAATGGAGCCTGGTAATGACCTTCTCGCCACCAAACATGGATACCTTCACTGTGCTGGCAAATGTTTGGCCTGGAGAGAAAAACAGCCTGCCCAGTGGGAAGTTTCCAAGGGACTTCCATCCCTTCCCCTTCCTAGACAGATGGACCCTGTTCGCTTGTTGGCTCCTCTCTGCTCAGCAGAAGCCTCCCTGACTCCACAGACCTGCAGGCTTCGCAGCCCCCCACCCCACCCCCTGGCTTCTAGATCCACAGGTTCTGACCAAAATCTACAACCTGGGAACTCTCCCTCCATTCAGCCAGCTCTCCTCTCACATCCGGTCTCCCCCCTTCCTCTAAAACCCCCAAAGGTTAAGAAAACACCCGGGGGGGTTCAAGGCTTCAGGAATCCTGTGATGCTCACCAGGCAGACACAGATGGTGCAGTTCTCTGCGGGAGGAGAAAACACAGCCCCTTCAGCTCTTATGACGCCACTGTGAAAACAGCCTTGGGAAGACAAACAGGAGCGGAGGAGGCATCAGACCTCTTCAAAGCAGAGAAGCCTGCGGCCTCAGGCTTCTCCAAGCGTAACGTGCCTGGAACCTTCTCTCACTGGCCGGGATGCCCCAGGAGTGGCAGATCCAGGTACCCAGAACTGCGTGGTCCCGAGACCCCTGGAGAACCACCGGAGGGAGCCCCCACAGGATGCCCCTGGGGGTTCTGTGCACGCCTGAGAAAACCACAGCTGCGCGGAGAGTGTGGCCTTTTATTCCAGTTAGGCAGGAAAGGCAGCCAGACAGCCCTGGGTTCCAAACCTGGCCTGCCCGTTCGGTCACCCGAGGGGCCTTGGACATGTCACTCCAACTGTCCGGGATTCAGTTGTCTTTACTGTAAAATGGAAATGCCCCCTCGTGCCCTGCGGGGGACCTCGAGGGACCCACAACCTCAGATGTGAAGTACCCAGCACTTCGCATTTAGGGCTCAGTATGAAGTAGGGACACAGTAAAAGGTCACAATTATCGTTCAGCAAATCAGTAGGTGCCTTTTTATTCTCACTCGGAGGAAGACTTTTCATTGCTGCTCTAAGTGCAGCAACCGCGGCACCTTATCACCATAGCGATACAGATGCTTGGGCCCCTCCCGCACTCCACTGAGCGAGTCTGCATTCTAACCGCAGGGGAGTGTGTGCACAGGGTTTGAGGAGCTCTGTTGAAGGACTTGGTTAAGATTTGGGGTCTTTATCCTAACAGCAATGGGAAGCAAATGAAAAACCATAGGCAGATTGTGGGAGAAAATCAGAAAAGGGGAAGAATTTACAAGTGATGACTCCTCTGGCCATAGGACGGGGCAAGACCAGGGGACTGCAGAGTGGAAACGCAGAAACTCACTGAATGAATGAATGAGTGCGAGAAGCTCAGAAGGGATCCCCAGGAGATGAAAAGTTGCCCGAGAGAGATCACAGCCCAGGCCAGTGGTTCTCAAACTGTGGTCCCCAGACCAGCAGCCACCAGCATCACCTGGGACCTTGTTAGAAATGCAAAGTCCTGGCCCTCCCTGACACCTGCTGAATCAGGAGCTCTGGGGGTGGGGCCCAGGGAGCCCCCTTCGGGTGATGCTAAGGTATGAGAAAGTTGGAGAAGAGACTTTCAGCTGCAGAAGGGCTGGGGAAGGGAAGAGGTGGGACCCCGTGGGCACTCCCAGCCGTCGCCCCGGGACCAGCTCCCACCTGCACAGGATGGACAGCACTCCTCGTCTCCAGAGGGGATGGGGTGGGAACAAGCAGCTTCACATGTCACCTTTTCACAGGTCACTTCCCCATCCTGCAAGCAGACGTTCCGATTACCACAAGGCCCCAGCACCAGACCAGGGCAGCCCCGAGGACCCCCACACTCACCTCGCACCAGCACTGGGAACACCCGGGCTCCGTCCAGTGGCTCCCTGACTCATGCGTGGCTCCCAGGTGCCAGCAGGCAGAGGGCCCTGGTGCCGGCTGTGGGGCCGTGGGGCCCCTGGGCAAGGAAGGGGTAACCACCGCCTTGTCCTGGAGTTGTGAGGGAGGTCCGAGCGTCCCCAACAGGGGGACACTGGGCACTAGGGTGGCTATCAGGGTGGACAGCAACCTCGTCAGGGCAGAAGGGGAAGCTGTTGGCAGTGAAGCGGTGGGAGATGGCAGGCAGGTGGTCCTGACTCCGGCTGGAGGCCCGGGAGCCCCCGAAGGAGGGCTGTGTCCGGGGGAGAGGGCAGGCCGGCCGGCCTCTGGGAGCAGCAGCAGCAGCTTGGGCGGCTGCTGCAGGGGCTGCAGGATGGCGGACGGGGCCAGCACGGCTGTCGGGAAAGCTGAAACGGAAGCACCGCGCATCCTGAGGGAGGTGAGACTGGGGGCCTGAACTCAGCGCCACCACCAGAGTCAGTGAATGTCTCTGGGCCGCTTTCTTCATCCACATAAGGAGTCTAATACCGCCGGTCCACCTCTGAAGTACTGGGGCCGTGGACACAGTCACACAGAAGGACTGAGGGAAAAGTACCAAGAGAGCAGGCCGAGGGGACAAGCGGGACGGTGTTCCTGCCCCCCATCCATGGGTGGCTTCCTGGGATGGGATGCTGAGGCCATGGACTAGAAAGACCACCTTCAGTTTCTGTATAATGTTACACCTCTATCTACAGGCACGGAGTGATCTGACACCACTGTCCAAGACTGTCTGCCCCTGGGAGCCCAGGTTACTGGGGCTCCTATGTCACATGCTCATTTTTTCCCTTTTACCATTTGGAGGAAAGCAGAAGGGCTAGGGAAACAATGAAGTGATAAGGGAGAAAGAATAGATAAAGAAATGGAAGGAGGAAGCAAGAAAGTGAAGCCTTGGAAATAAGAGGAATGAAAACAAGAGTGGGCGGAGACAGAAGAGGGTCCAGCTCTGGGAGGGCGGGGCCCAGGGCCAGGAGCTGGGAGGCGGGGCTGGGAGGCGGGGCTGGACGCTCACCTTCACATGACACGCGGTCAGCTCGCAGCCTGAAGCCAGGCCTGCACGTGCACAGGAAGCTGCCCACGGTGTTGTGGCAGGAATGGTGACAGACTCGCCTCTCCTGCGGTCTCCGACATTCGTTAACATCTGCAGGAGAGCCTTGCTGTCTTGTCGGGGCTACGGAGCCTTTCTTCCATCATCCCTTAGACCAAATGGCTGGGGGAGTCTCCCTGCCCCAGGATGTGGACGTGACTCAGAGTCTGGCAGTGGCGCTGGAATCTACACTAGTCCCCCTGGAAGGCTCCTCCATCCGGGAGGCGCTCCGTGGATGCACCAGCGACTCACCCCCAGCATCACGCAGCAATGATTAAGTGCTGGCAGGGATGAGCCCGCTGGGAATCCTATCTCCAAGCCTTCCACCATCCCACCTGTCGGGGGTCCGTGGTGTGGCCCCGTCTGGGAAAAAAAAGAGTCTCAAAAACCACCGTGCTGCTCAGGGTAGGCTTCAGGACAAACACCGCACTCTGTGAGAACAAGGCCTTTTTTCAGGCCCGTGGGACCCCACCTTCAACTCATGAGCCAAGTGCAAGACAAACATGCCAGTCCCTTTCTGGAAATTTCAGCTAATGGGCTGAGAAAACAGGGGTCTCCTTCTAAAGCAGAGGCACTAAGGAAGACATAACGTGCTTTATTTACCAAGGGGAGCAAAGGCAGCCAAGAAAATGGGTGAGCAGAAAGGAATCCTGGGGTGTATCTGGGAGGAGGGGGCGGAAGAGAAACATAACAGGATGAAAGTGGCAGTGGCCAGGAGGAGTCCAAGCGGGGTCTTCCGTGCGAAGCCCTGCCCACCCCAGCGAAAGGCAGACTGAGCAGAGGCTTCAAGCACCTGCGGGCTCCAGGGGACCAGGAGGTCAAGACTGCTGACCTTTCCCTGTCCCTGGGCTTGGACCTGTCTGTCTCCCAGATTGGCAGCCCAAGTGCAAAGACAAGCGGGTTCCCCCGACCTTACCTACACAGGAGTGCCGGTTGCCGTGCAGGTGGAAGCCAGTCCTACAGGAACACCGGTAGCTGCCAATGCTGTTTTTACACCTCTGCTGACAGGGGGTCCCGAGGCACTCGTCCGTGTCTGGAAGGGAACCGACCAGGCCGGAGCTCTTTTGCCCGTGGAGTTGTGGAAATACGTGGCCCCGTCATGTCTCTCATTGCCACCCCCTGCCCTCGCAGAGCTGTGGGGGGCCATCTTAACCCCTCTCTTCCTCACTGCCCACATGCAGTGGACCACCTCCTAAGTCCTCGCTGGACCAGCCTTCTCTCCACCTCCACGGCCATACCCTAGCCTGTCCGCCTGTCTACAGTCTGGAGAAGAGCAAGAGTCTCCTGCATTGTCCCGCTCTTCCTGAGACACAGCCTGAGGCATGTCCCAGCTAATGAGCACTCTGATTGGGCCACCCGCCTGTCGTGGCTCCCATGAGGACCAGTGCAGCCCCAGCAGTTCACAAACCCGGGGCTGCCTTTTCGCTCCCTCCCTGCCCCTCGCCTTTGCTCTGGCTTAAGTTCTGGCTGTGTTCCAAGTGCACCACACTCTGGGGGCCTCCCCTTCGACAATGGTCTCCAGTCTGCTCAGACTGCCTTTCCATCTTGTCTGGCTGGAAAACTCCTACTCATACCTCAAAACTCCGCTTCTCTGGTCCCTCCTCTGTCAATGCTCCCCTAGGCTGGGATTTGGAATTGTGAAAAACTGGAAATAACCTCCATGTTCACCGGTTAAGAGAAGAGTTAGTATTAACTGTGGAACGTTCGCACTGCAGACCACCAGGCGGCAGTTAAAAGAACCACGCGGGTCTGTCGACCCCAAGGCGAGATCTTCAAGACAGACTGCTGAGGCGGGGAAGGCGTGCAGAGGAAGGACTGGGTTCCAGTCCCGGCTCTGCCAGGATCTTGGGCAAGTCCTTTCATTTCTTTAGGCCCCAGTGTTCCTCTAAGGAAAGCGGAAATAAACAGTACCAACTTCACAGGATAATTTTGAGGGTGGAACAAGAACATGCGTGTGTAATGCTCAGCACGGTGCCCAGATGCAGCAGCGCAGGACAGCAAGCTGCTCGCCCCTCGTTGTCATTTCTGTGTGCGTGCGCGTGTGCCGGGCAGAGGCAGCCGGGCACTCGGGTGCTGCGGTGAATCGTGTCCCCCGGATTCCCATGTGGAAGCCGTAACCTCCCATGGGACAGTGTGAGGAGGTGGGGCTTTGGGAGGTAACCAGGTTTCAGTGAGGTCTGGCAGGCAGGGCCCTCACGATGGGCTCGGTGCCCTTAGAAGAAGAGACACCAGGAAGCTCGCTCACTCTCTCTGCTATCTGTGAGCCAGGAAGAGGGCGCTCACCAGGAACTCAACAGACCGGCACCTTGATCTTGAACTTCCAGCCTCCAGAACTATGATATGTTCTTTTTTTTTTATTTCTTTATCTTTAGAGGGGAAGGGAAGGAGAGAGGGAGAGAAATATCAATGTATAGTTGCCTCTCATGTGTCCCCTGCTGGGAACTGGCCTGCAACCCAGGCATGTGCCCTGACTGGGAATCGAACGATGATGCTCTGGTTCGCAGGCCCACGCTCAATCCACTGAGCCAGGGCTTATACGTTCTTGATAAGTTGTTGGTATTCTGTTATAGCAGCTTGAGCTAAGACATCAGAGTTATTCTCTAGGGAGAGCGGAGTACAGAAATGGAAGAAGGGGCTCGGAGCAAGCAACTTGTAAACCTTTGTTACAATTGATGAAAATGTCAAACACACAGAAAAACCTACTGCAGTATCACAGGGGAGCTTTCACCTTCACTGTGTTTTTATGTGTGTTTCCTTCCCTAATTCTATAGAGAAAAGCCATCTTAAAAGAATGAGTAACTATGTTTAAAACTCGCTCTCACCCTGCTCCTTTAGGAAGAGAGATAGATGTCTTCTCTCCCCTGGGTCCCACGGCACTGACGGGCCCAACCTCATTGCTTTCCTTCCCTCCAGCTGGAGGGCCTGCAGGACCACAGGGTCCACGCCGCCCAGCAGCGGCGGTGACAGCGTCATCATCACCCACCCCACCCGAGCCGCTCACCTTGGCAGCTGTGGCGGTCGGCAGACAGCTGCATGCCCGGCCCGCACTCGCACACAAACCCCCCTTCCGTGTTCACGCACTGGCCCTCACAGGAGGAGCTCAGACATTCATCCACGTCTGGGAAGAGAGAAGACACCCTTGCACAGCCCATGGTCGACATGGTTGGGGTGCAGGGAGAAAACACGCCACACGGACCCCGTGTCCACACCCGCCTGCCCCACCCCACCACGGGAAGAAAGACCAGGCACCAGGACCCTCATCGGACGATGGGGGAGGCCCCAGAAAGAGGCCGAGGGGCCAGACCCCTCTCTGACCTGTGCAGACCGATGATCAAAAGGATGCTAAAGCCCACCCACAGGGCAACCCCACCAGGGCAGAGGGAATGGGCAGGAAGGCTGAGTAAAGCCCCATAAATGCTAACAGAGTGCCGCCTGTGCATAGCAGGAATGGAGGGGAGACAGTGGGGACACAAATGGGACTGAGATACAATGCTGACTCTCCAGATGGTTACAGTCTGATAGGGGAGGAGCCACGACACACACCCACAAGAGATGCGTGGCCGGGTGATATGGGCCCCACCGGGGGACGCCCCGCCACAGCAGGGGAGTGCTGGAGGAGAGATGGGCTGAGAGGACCAGGAGGCTTCGGGGTGAGGGGAGGTCAGTGGAGGGAGTCTGAGGAAGTTCTGGGAGCACAGGGAAGATGTGGGGCCCAGCCCGGCTGGACAGGGGCATCGGGAGGCAGGGCTGGAGAGCTGGGTGAAGGCTTGGTTGGGAAGCACCAAGGACTCTGCAGAGCTTCTGCCCAGGGTGGGGTGACTGGATACAAGGAGTGCTCTGGGGAGATCCTGAGGGGTGAGGGGGCTGAAAAACAGACCTCTGCACCCCTGTGGCATCCCTTCCTCATCCAGGAACCAGGGCGGCTCCGGAGGACCCACAGGAGCGGCTCTGCCCACTCCTGTCTGCACCTGGGTCTCTTACCCTCCAGGCCTGTGCCCTCAGGACACCTCCATCCTCACTCTGGGCTCTTCAGAAGCATGCCCACTGCTTCTAAGAAGCCCACCTGGCTGACTCCATCCCACTGGGCCACCTCAGGCTGTGGCCAGTGCCCCTGCCCTGCACTCGCTTCAACACCATTCTCTGCCTTTTCCTTGGCCCAGTTTGCCTCTGCAGCAAGAAGTGTGGGCAGAAACTACTCCCCATGAAAGACATTCAGGGGATAATGAATGGCTTCATCCTTCCTGAAGGGGATGGTGGGGCAAGGAGCCCCAGAGCAAGATTCTCTTGTGTGAGACACTCCGAGCCACCAGCTCTTCTGGGGACAGTCAGAGACACCGCCAAGAAGCCCTTTATTGCAGTGTCACTGACGTAGCGAAATACCGCAGACAAGCTTGGTGACGGGTCACAGCGCTAGGCGCTCACAGCAGCCACATGTGCAGGTTCCAAAAATCATGCTGTACGGACTATCTCGTGCTCCCAGAGTCAAGTTTAGCGAGAAAAATAATGAACGAAAACTACAGACAAGACGTGATCCCAATTTTATAAAACACACAAATGTGCATGTTTAACACACACAATTGTATACACAGGGTTACAAATACACACCCAGGGAAAAGGGTGGGAGAAATCTCGCTTTTGTAACAAATATCTCTGGGCAGGGGCCTCTGGGACCCGGTGGGTTTATTTTTCCCCTACTACCTTTCCTTTACAATACTTTCCAAATGTTCCAAAATAGTCCCCTTTTACGTCTGCATTCAGGGGAAGAAACATGATTTTTACCTGTCTCAGGAAGAGACTTTCCCCTCCCTAGAAAGATAAGCAAGAAACTAGTCCGAGTGGCCGCCTCTGGGGAATGGCACTGACCGCCAGCAGGCACGTTTCAAAACCATGAACAAATACAACGATTCTGGGGGTTTGCTTCTCTCTTCTTTCCGATGTCACTCTCCCGAGGGGGACTTTGCAGCCCAGCCTCCTCCAGCCCCACTGTGCACATGCCCAGTTCCAGTCCCAGTCTGTCTGTGTGCAACATACTCCTACTGTCTCTGCCCCCAGCTCAGTTCCTCGCCCATAACAGGAGCGGGTAAATATTTGGGAAACAGCGGGAGGGTCCTATCCCTTTGGTTCGCCTGCCTCCCTGCCCACTCTCATCGCAGTTCAGCTCTGGAGGCCATCCCGGCAGGAGGGGAGGGGACATAATTCCTGCCCGCCCCTCCCCCACTGCTCCCAGGTCTCTCACCGGTACACCTGATGCCAACAGCTGTCTCTGTCATCGAGAAGCCCACAGGGCACACACGGGCCACCTCCTGACAGCCGCCATGGTTACAGGTGAGGTCGCAGCCGTACTCTCCGCAGGGTCCGTGGCCTTCTGAAACAGGCACCGCGGGCGTGAGCGGCACCGAGCCTCGGCCCCGGCTGCCCCCACCCCACAGGCGCTCCTGAGTTCTGTTGGGAAGGTGCCTCTGGAGGCAAACAAGCCTGAGTTTCAGTCCAGCTCTGCCACTCACTCGCCACGTGATCCTGGGTGAGCCACTGACTTCTGTGCCTCAGTGTCCTCACCTACGCAATGGGACTGAGAATTCCTGCTATTCTAACAGGGCGGTATGAAGATGATACTCGAGCCCAGGGCCTGGCACGTGATCTCAGTGTGAACACAGTTCCTCCCATGAGCCACTGCCCGCCCCAGTTACCTGGGCAGGTGGCCCCTTGCTCTCCATCCTGGCAGGAGCAGACATTGGGAGCGATGCAGATGCCACTCCCACAGCCAAAGGAGCAGAGGGCTGAGAGGAGAAACGCAGGTGAGAGGGGGAGGCTGGGGCCCCCAATCTGCCCCTCAGGCCTGTCCCACGGAATGACAGCCCAGCAGGGGAGGGTGTTTGGGGCCCAGGGACAGGCACTTACGAAGGGTGCAGTGCCCACTGCCCACGGAGGGCGCCCAGCCAGGGCAGCAGCCACTCCCGAACCCCGAGAGGCAGACGTGGGGGCCCAGCCGGCGTCTGCAAGAGAGGAGAGAACGCTTTCCACCTCAGATGCGTCTGCAGAGGAGGGGAAGCCTCCCAACCCAGCCAGTCTGTCTGTCAACAGACCGTTCTTGGGACCCTCAGGAGAGGCAGTGGGAAGTTTCCAGAGAAAAACGACCCTGACAGCCGGTCCTGGAGGCAGGACAGAGACAAAGGCACCAGTATCCTACAGCTCACTGCTGCAGGAGCACGGGGCAGAATGGCCGGGGAGGGGCCCTCTGAGGGGCCTCAGCGCTGAGGGGAAAAGCTGCAGTGGATGAAGAGCCCAGGGCCGGCTACCTCAGGGCCTTTGCACCTCCGGTGCCCTCTCAAGAAGGTCCCTTCTCGGACATACACCGGGTTGGTCCCTCCTTTCACCCAGGTCTCCCTGCTCATGCCGCCTTCTCAGAGACCCTTCTCGTCCACCCTGATTTTGTTTCATTCTTTCCATGACACTCACTTCCCAGGACATTACATTATTTATTAACTTGTTGACTTTTAAAAATTTTTTTATTTATTTTTAGAGAGAGGAGAAGGGAAGGAGAAAGAGGAATAGAAACATCAATGTGTGGTTGCCTCTTGGATGCACCCCAGGGGGTGCCACTGGGGTGGCCTGCAACCCAGGCAGGCGCCCTAGATTGGGAATCAAACCGCTGACCCTCTGATTCAAAAACCCAAGCTCAATCCACTGAGACACACCAGCCAGGGCTTAACTTGTTGATTTGTTCATTGTCTGTCTCCCCCACGATTCCTGGAGGACAGGGCTTCACCTTTTGGTTCACCTCCACACCAACAGCAGTACCTAGCACACAGTAGGTGCTCAGTACTTGGTGGTTGAGGGAAAGGTTGAGAAGGGAAGCAGTAGAAGAGGGAGGGCAGCCCCTGTGGGGCCGGGTGACATCTCTGGGGTGGGGGTGGGGACGCCAGCGAGCTGCCCAGAGGAGTGAAAGGGAACCAGAAGCTGGGTGAGGGCCGGCAGCACAGCCAACAGCCATCGGGCAAGTCTTTTCCCCACCTTCAGGGGCACGCACGGGGCAGCTGAAGAACCAGGTGATAACAGCATACTGTGACACGTGTCACAACAGGACTGGCTACGGAGCCCAAGGAGGGTCAGGTTTCCTGGAAGGCTGAGGTGGGGAAGTGGCGCGGGGGTGGCTGGTGCGAGTGCAGGAGCAACAGGGGCAGAGGGAGCACGGGGTGGGGGCGGGGGAGGTGCACAGGCCTGGACGGAAGCGGACAGCATCCCTGCAACTAGTTCTTTGTGACAGGCTGTGCGGGGGGTGGCCCCCAGGGCAGAAGAGGGCCAGGAACACCCTCCCACCTGTGCTCCACCTGTTTGGAGGGTGATGGCAACAGTCTGAGGGTCGGGGCTGAGGACATGGAAGGACAAGACGGACCCGCCCCGCCCCCGGGGAGAAAAATGCGTGCCAAGTGTGACATGCAGTCTGAGAGGGAAGCTCAGGGCACAGGGCGGCGCGGAAACGACCCCCGAAAGCAGCCCCCCCCCCCCGAGCCCCAGAGAAGCCTGTTTACTCTCTGCAGTCATCCCAGAAAAAGAGGGGGCCCTGGGGGCGGGGCTTGACAGCGACGTCTCACCCACTGCCCTGGCTGGAGTGATTTTGTCAGCCACCTAGGAAGGAGCAGCCGCAGTTCCCGCTACTCAGACGCGGCTCTGAAAGGGAGGGAGATGCCACCAAAGTGGCAGATGTTGGAATGCCCAGAAGCCTCCCAGGACGGGCCGTGGCGGGGAGACAGGTGGCAGGAATGCTCTGAAATGCACAGAGCCTGCTGGATCTGAGTAAGAACTGGCGGCGTCGGTGGAACGCACGTGCGAGCGGTGGGACCACCCCCTGTGCGCCCCCCTCTCCCTGGGCAGTGGCGGAGGGCCAGGGCGCCTGCTGACTCCGCGTTCCCTCGCTCGGAGCATCACGCACACACGTGCTCAGCCCGCGGCAGCCAGGAGGAGACCCGAGGGGAAGGCGGCATCCGTCGGGAAAGAGCAAAGGGACAAACACCCCACCCCCGCCCTCTCGCCCACGCGTGCACAGGCGGAAACCGAAACATAACCTGGAGAGACCCCGGTGGTTCCAAGGTCCACAGCGTGCGCAGAGCGTGAGCACAGGGAAAGCCCCTCCCGGGAGCGGCCGGAGCCGCAGGAAGCCAGCCCCTGCCGAGGCAGAGGCACCAGCACGTCCTCAAGCGAAGCCAGCCAATCTGGACACCAGGTGGCACATCCCGAGCTCCCCTTGCCCCAGGTCTACGCTGCAGAACGGACTCAGATGGGCTCATCCAGCGCCTGGGTCTCTGTTCTTCCCTTGACGTCCCGGCCAGGACAGCCCCGGACAGGGGCACAGAAGATGCACCCGTCCAGAGGCACATGCTGCAGTCTCTTTGTCCGTCTCCCCTGGGATGCGCCCGCGCGGACAGAGCCCCAGAGGGGAGCCCCTATTTGCAGCTGCCAGAGGCACCGAGCGCCCCTCCGTGCCTCCCTGCTCCACACCGACAGTGCCCCGTGGCAGGGCAGGAGAGGGTCTCGGGTGCTTACCTCTCCGTTGCAAAGTGCCCAGGCGGTTTCCTCCCGGTGTAGCCGCGGGCTGGGGCCCCCGGCAGCAGGAGCGCGACACAGGCAGCCCGGACGAACAGTCCGGCCCACATGACCGGCAGCGGTGCGTCCCCCCGGCTCGGCTGGGCTCCGGCGCTGCGCACGGGGGAGGGGGCTACCGGCCTTCGCCCCTCCTCCTGGCTCAGCGGGGAGCGAACCAGCGAGCCCCGAGCTGGCACGCAGAGCCGAGCAGGGGGGCTGGGGACGCCGAGAGGAGGGGCGGGGGGCCCGCAAGGGGACGCTGCGCAAGGCTGGGGGGTCTCTGGCACCTCGGAGGGAAACACACAAAAGGCAGTGACTCCCGCCTGCCAGTGGCCTCCAGGGTAGAAGGCGCGGAGCCCCAGGAGGGGTCAAAGATCAGGGACCCCTGAGGGCGGGGTTTAGGCCTTGGCCCCCACCCCCTGCCCGGGTTTTGGGAGTTGGCTTCCTGAAAAGGGCTGTGGGCGTCAGACTGAGGCCCGGGAAGGGAAGAGACTTCGGGAACAAGGCTGGCGCTGGAGGCTGCGCATCCCAGGCATTGCTGGTCTCGGTGGAGCCCAAGACGCCTGTGTCGTCCGAAGGTGGGAAGTGTGGAAATCCGTGCCCCGTGGAAAAGGACTCCAGGTCCTTTCATTGCTGGGCAGTCTACACCCTATCGCTGGATGAGTGAGTCAGAGGGTTCATCTGCTCCCTGGTCAGGGGGGACTAGGTGTTGAACCCACAGGCTCCTCTTTGCCCCTTCCTGCAGCTGCCCCAGGCCAGTCAGAAAGCGGTAGGCAGGGGGGGAAGTGGTGAGCAGGTGGTATGGCTGGGTAGGATCATCCAGCTGGGAGAAAGCCCAAAAGATGACCAGGAAGCTGAGATTCTGCCATCTGCTGTGTGCGGGAATCTACCCTAGTCATCAGGACCCAATTAGTCAAGGTTTGCTTGAACACTTCCAGGGACAAGGACCTCACTACCTGTCAAAAGGGAGACCAACCCAGTTTTGAGTAACTGCCTTTGTTAGGAAGCGCTTTTACTTCCCACCCAAATAACCCATCCCCCTGTTCTTGCCTCTGCAGGTGCCCACCCACCAGCTACCCCAGCCTGTCACTGAGGTCCTCAACATCCGTGGCCACAAATGAACACTGTGCCACCGGTAGCCTGGACTCTTGCATTCTTCCTTCCCGACACCACGTTTATTAACACGTCCTACTACTGCTGGGCTTTTGGGACAACCCCTGATGCTGTCGGTTCATAACAGAGTTTATCATAAAGGAGAACCTCTGGCATGGCCATGTTTTCATCACCTTGTTTATTAAACACAAGCCACCGAGCTAACTGCCCCCCCTGAACCCATGTGGTTGAATTTTTGCAGAAGTTCAAATTCAGCCTGGTTGTCTCACGTTGTCAGTTTTGATCCATCCTCTAAGCCAAGCAGTAACTTCTCACCAAACAGGTTGCAAAAATACTGTCATAAATTGAACGCAGGGCCCATATCTATGTCCCTTCTGAATCCCACGGACCTTCAGAATCCTGGGGCGCCTTCCCTCTGTGCCTTGTCCCTCCACCACCCACACCACCTTCTTCCCCAAGACCTCAGTGGGCCACAGAGCGCTTGCACACTCGCCTTCAGTGAGCACGTAGCCACAAGTCTAGCTCTGCATCATTCAACAGTGCAGAACATCACGGATACAGCCCTTCTCTCAGTTGAGCCCACAAAATCACAACGCTGCCCTCATCCCTGCCCAGGCCACCCCTCAGTGTCAAACAGGCGCTCCACCCTGGCCCCAGAAGCCACCCACGAACTCTCACACAGACACGGGACCCAAGTTTCCTTGTACAGGCCTATCACCCCCTCGTTCCAGTTCCTCCCACATGCCAGCACGCCTGAGCCCCACTGCTTCATGTATGTAGCCTGGCCCCTGCACCGCATCCCGTACCCAGGCAAGGTCTGTCCCGTGGTGGTCTCCTGCTCCAAGAAAATCCTCACCCACCCTCGGGAGCTCAGGGTATTTGAGATGCTGCAAATTCCTACTGGTGTATTTGAAAACAGCCCTCTGAAGCTCTAGCATTCCTAGTTCCCCAGCTTCCTTGACCTTATGGCATTCCGCTTGCTCCTCTTATCAACAGTTTGGTTCTTTAGTTTGCTTTTTTCTTTCTCCAGTCTTTCTGTTTGTTTGGCCCAAGGCTCAAAAAGTTTGGCCCCCAGGAATCTCTAACTTCACGTGGGTCATTTTCAAGGCCTGCTCAGGGCAAGTCCCTCAGTTCCGCTTCTTCAGTGTTGCCTCCCCACTCCTGTGGCTTGTGGCTTCTGGGTAACAACAAAAGGGACCCTCCTCAGAGGCCGGAGGATCCAAGTCGTTGGCTGCAGAGAGAAGACCTCTCTCTGGCTTGTGACCCTTCCAAACGGTCCTGGGATGAATCAGTGCTTCTGTCCTCCCCAAGGTCCATGCTTGCAGAGGCCTCGAGCGAGGCTGGCGCTCCAGCGGCGCCTGCACACACGGGCCACTCCAGCTGGCTGCGGCCGGGCTCCCCAGGCACCTTTCACCCCCGGAGTGGTGACTGGCGGTTTTTAAAGTGGGGAGGGGGATGTGAACGCGCAGCAGCACGATGTCAGAGTTTCCAAAAGACCTGCTGGAATTCAACCCTGAATGTCCCCGAGACTGTAAGGAACAAAAACTGCGAGGACCCTGCAGCTCCCAAGCCTAGCCTGAAGCCTCTGGTAAGTAATGACCGTCTACTTGCCGCAGCAGGTCTCCCCGGCTGCGGGTCCGGCGGCTGGAAAGCACCGGAACACTTCACAGGACTCTGTCTTCCTGATCTTGGCACCTTATCATCCATCCTCCCATCTAAGATTAATTTTTAAAATAATCACAATCTGGAGACTGCTGCTTGCCTCCCTCATCAAAGCGGTCTCTGGCATGGGGGCAGGCCCTTTCAATTCAAACCATGACTTGAAGAATTCAAATCACAGTGTTGAGTTTCAAGTCCAAACTGTGGTTTTTGAGAGATGCCGATTATTTTTTCCCTTAAGACCCTGAGTCCCCACCCTCAGAAAGCCCAGGAGAGCAAGGGGAAGAGAACGGTAGGGAAACACACGGGACGCCTCCTCCAGGGAAGGAACCTCACTCTGGAAGACCCCCAAAGCAGAGATGCTTCCTTGCCCTTTCCCTTTTAAGCTAGAATCTCTCAAAACCACAGTTTGAACTTGAAACCACAACTTTCCTGACACTGTATCAAAGGCTGGCCTTAAAGGAGCCGGCCAGGATGCCTGGGACCCACCCGACTCCACCGTCAGGACAGAGCAGCCTTCATTCCCACTGGGTCACTGGTGGGAATATGGGCCCAGACACTGACCCACTGCGCTGAAAGAAGACGGCTCTGTTCACTGGGCAGGAAGGGGAACCCCAACTGCGCCCTACTGGTGTACTCTCAAACTAAAGGCACCAAAGGTTTACTTGATTAAAACCAAGAGGACACAAAAGTAGAGGCCAAAAGGTACATGATGACAGGAAGCTGGGGGCACATGCAAAGCTACCTGCCCAGGGCCAAGGAGCAGTCCCCAGGGGCTGGTTGAGGGGAGGCTACATCTGCTATAAACTGACGTCAGGAAAGGCAGCCCAGGCGGCCTCCAGGCCGGGCGGGCTACTGACAGAGCAACTGGGAACATCAAATGGTGACCCGAGGCAATCAAAGACGCCGGAATTTCAGACGCCTGACACCCATCACCCTCAGGATCCCGCACAGCCAAGGCGAGGTACAGACGCCCTCTCACTGGCGAGCCCGAGAGGACTTGTTTCAGCAGCAATGACAAGTGACTGCAGCAGCTGCCATCAACAGGGGCCTTGACTCTGCAGGAAACTGAGCACAGTGTGACCCGGATGCTGCAGTGCTGGGCAGCCGGGAGAAAAGCAGAAACAGATGGGTCTTTCTTCTTTAGATTCTACTTTTATTTGGTAAAACTCAGAAACTAACCACCAATTCACGCCCACCCACCTCCTTCTCTCTGAAGGAGGCAGTTCCCCAGAGACAAAAAGGCTGCAGCCTGGGGGTCACCCACCACCCCCAGGTTTTGCACTCTGGCAGCCCACGCGGTGGTCAGGTCTCCAGATCCAAAGCTCTCGGAGGCAACAGAAGAAAGTTAAAGGGAGTTCTCCTTCAAAGGCAGAGAACCCTCCCGGCCCCTCATCCTCCCCACAACCGCCCCACACCCCCCACCTAAATAAAAAGATAGCAGAGGACAATGCATGAGTGAGACACACAGAGCTTCCTTTCAGCCAAAGAGCTGCAAAATCCCTCCCTGGAAGGAGAAGCTGCGACACCAAGCAAGGCTTGGTGGCCCCAGGTGATGGCTGGAATCATGCGAGACTGGTAAAAATCTAGGGAAAAAATGATTTCCCCTTCAGCCCATTCCCAGGTGTCCAGTGAGCTGGTTTTGTAGTTCTAAGAAATCCCCATTTCCACACAGGCGACTGTGGCTTCTGGGGCAGCTGGCTTAGGGAAAGGTCTCCCGTGGCCAAGAAGACAGTGGGGGTGGGGGGGAGGCAGGAGGGCAAAGCCTTCTGGGAGGATCTGGGAGAGGGACTCCCTGCCCTTGGCTAATGGATCCGCGTCAGCTCCTCCACAACCTTGATCAGGTCGTCTGCCGTGGCCTCTCGTTTCATCCCGCTGCCATCGTCATACTGCATCAAGGAAAGGAGGGGAGGTGGTGAGGGCCCAGGGGGCACTCTCGCGCCCTGGGAAAGGGAACCCACAGCAGGGAGGAAGTCCTCGCCAGAAGCCCACACCTCTCCTTTGGGGTGCAGGTCAGCAAGGCTGACTGAAGGCAGGGCCACCTGGAGCCTCCCCGCGGGCAACACCTCCAGAGAGTAACACCCCAAAAGCCAGCACCGCAGACATTTCTCTACCCTGTGGTTCGGCCCACATCCCTCTTGTGGGTCTACCTCGAGCCCAGACACACCCCGATGTGCTCTCACTGCTGAAGCACAGCGGTCGCACGGGGAAAGGTGCTTGTGCAGTGCCAGATGCCCGATGGGCACCCAGGAGCCAAGCCTCAGCTCCCTCTCCTCGCCCTCAGAGGCCACCTCCCATGCAGCAGAACACATAAAAGGGCCACTGGTTTCTAGGAAGCGAGGAGGGGAGGCACCTGGAGTCCAGACAGTCTCCTGGCATGCCCAGCCTTGCAGTGAACCTGTGTGACCAGCCCGGAGCTGAACACCGCATAGCTCACCTGAAGGTTTGCCACAACCTCCTGCATCTTGGGCCGGCTGATGTCCAGGAAACTCTCAATCAAGTCCCCATCGATGAACCCGGTGGCTGGTTCTGTCTTTCGCTCAGTATGAAAGGATCTCCAGGTGGACAGGCGAGTTAAGGAATGTGCAATTACTTGGAAGTACCCTGCTCACAGGCCCCCCACAATCTGAAGCAGTCAGAGAGAGGACAGGAAACA